AGTTTTTACATAAAACTTTTTACAAATAAATGAAAAATTACCAGAAGCTTTGTCGATACTACAAATAATGTATTTACTTTTCAGCAATTTAAGACTTCTTTTAAGGCCAGAGGGGGGGGGTAAATGGCACTTTTGTAGTTTTTGCATATTTGATAATAGCTACTGGAGACGAGCAAAAAGAAAAAAACCGGATCAAAATCTGACCTTGCGCTTCTGAGATATCGCACGCTCAATTTTGAGGTTTACCTGTAATTACATGTTAAACTGGAACTTTAAACGGCTGTAACTTTTTTGACATTTCGATTCCTTAGTTGAGAAAACCGGCCAATCCCTGATCTTGAGGTTTGGTACAGTGGTTCCTTGGACAATTATCCTCATTTATGATGCAGCGATTTTTTTAATTTGACTCAGTTCTCGAATTATGAGGTTAACCATGTCAAAAATTCGGAAAATTTAGCTCAAATAAGTCAAATAAAAAAAAATCGCTGCATCTAATATCTAGATAGTTGTCCAAGGAACCACTGTACCAAATCTCAATATCAGGGAGTGGCTGGTTTTCTCAACTAAGGAACTGAAAGTCACAAAATGTGTTTTGAGATAGATGCAATATAGTGTTTTCAAAATTTTGAATATTCACTGGAATGTATCACAGTTCGTTAGTTAGGACTTTTTATACACTTAATAACGTTTGCTTGATCAGACCTGGCCGTCCCCTAAATGATTTTAGCCACTTTCAGTAGTTAATGTCCTTGTATTGTAAAAAATGAGGTTAACCAAGACTTCCTGTAAACACTAACTGCTTAAAATTTGGTTGTTAACCTCGCTTTAGACCATATAATAGTGGGATTGGTTTATCAATATGTTATTATATATGTAGTAAAACATTTGCACAGTATAACGATTAAGTTTTTGTGGTTAACATGTAATTGACTGGTCAGATATTCAAAAAATGAGAGGTTAACCTCATTTTTTAGCCATTTACGGGTAAAATCTTCTACTAAAATATGGTCAGTTCAAATCACCTTTGTCACGTGATTATAGTTGTAGGCATTGTGATACCAATAGATACCTCACTTCGATATTGTGGTACATAACATAAGTAAGAATCGTATGTATACTCCCTACGGTACCAAAATGTGATGGTTAACCTCATTTTTTTCATTTTCCCAAGATAAAAGAAAGTCAATCGACACGTCATCTATTTAGAAATGTGTATACCGTAAACTTACGATGAAAATAGTAACTCTATCATTTGATCTATTCTCGCTATATCTAAAAGACGAGGTTAACCTCATTTAATCACGTTTGGATATTACTTTTTCTGATAATTATGAACCTAAAATTTAGAGTTTACATTTGCTGACCGAAATAACGAAAAATTATGGCGTGGAATAAAATATTAACCTCAATTTTATTAACCTCAATGTTGTATAGTCAATTTTGCGAAAATCGGTTAACCTCAATTATAAAATAAAGTTAATCAGCTACAAATATGTGAATAGCGGCAATGTTTTTGTCATTCAAAATTAAATCGATTTAGAAAATAATATTTTGGTAGAATTTTTTGACCCCTTACCCCCCCCTCTGGCCTTAACATCATCTTTTTCCAGTGTGTTTTCTTTTATTTCAAATGTTTCAGGAAAGTTTTTCTTGTAATATTCAATACGATTGGAAACTATTGATAACACTTTTTCCTTCCAATCGCTGAACTTTACTTCTTTTTGACAGTACTTTCTACTTTTTGATTTTATAAATTTATCGACAGCTTCGGTAACTGACATATATATCTCATCTGGAGATTTAAATGTGGGAATTCTGTATTTACAACCATAGGAAAGTACTTCCCTAAGTTCAACATTATCAACAATATCTAAATTACCAGTAACTACATGTCCATGAGGAGGATAATTGAAAAGGGAGGAGTGACAATCGCATGGACTACCTAAAATAGATTTAATATCAGAAATAGAAAGTTTCTTTAAGAATGAAGCATAGTTACAAATAGAAAGACTTATAGGATCATTATACTCATAATAAATCTGTAATGGTGTAAAAGACTGAATCAAAATGGGAAGCAAATCAATGACTGAAGTGTCAGAGAAAATAGATTTTAGGTTAAGATTATCAATGAATTTGCAATTAAATGGAACAATTATAAATTCTCTATTACTGGATTCAGATTTGTTCTGATGGTATTTGGGGGAAAATGTTGAACAGAAAGAGGAACATACGTTGTAAATCAATCCTGAATTATATTGACTCAAAGAGTAGAGAGTGTCTAAATCTGATAAGCTATAACATTTTAATGTTTTGTATATGGAATGTTCTGAAGAGATGTTATCTTTCAGCCTGTTAATATCAGACTCTATGGTATCCAGAGACTTCTTAGGCTGAACTTTCTTCTTTCCATTCCCTCTGCCACGTTTGTATCGAGCAATCAGTCCACTAAAATAATTCATAACCCGATCTTGGGAGATGTTGCCCGTTCCTTTCTTCTTGTCATTAAGACCAAGAGGGAATGCTGTCCCAAGCTTCTCTATCCAGTAATCCTCCAGGAGAAGTAAATCAAATTAGTCAGAATCTTTATATTTTTATCGATTTCCCTAAACAAATATCAAGTTCTGCACGGAATGTCCAATCAATGTAGGTTTAGTACCAAGAATTATGTCAGTAATCATTAATTAATTAATTAAAATTGAAATTTAAAAACACCACTATTAAGCGTACACTTTTACTCAGCAGTGTCACTACAACTAGTTTACAAAAATACTTTTAAAACTATATATCAAAAGCAAAATAAAGTTCTATGTATAAATTCGTTCATAAAACTTCCAAAAAGCTAATATAATTTAGATAAGTCAAAGAGAGGGTTAAAATTATTAATAGAACATTTTTGCTACCTCAGTGTCAGATAAAGTAAACAAATAAGTCTTCAGTGCGGACTTAAACGCCTCAACAGAATAACATTGTTTAACTGAGTCTGGTAGTGCATTAAAAACTCGTGGACCAACCACACTAAAACTACGATCACCAAAACCCTTGGTTGAACGATAAGGGACTATGAGCCTAACAGTGTGTCCATGGTGAGCATACTTAAACATATCTTGAAGGTACAGTGGCGCTATTCCATTAATAGCCTTAAAAGATAAGAGACATATTTTAAAAATCACTCTTTTAGGTATATTAAGCCAGTGCAATTTATCAAGATCGTCGCCTAGGTGATCAAATTTATATTTTCCAGTTACTGCTTTTGCACAGGCATTTTGAATAAGCTGTAGTTGATGTATGAGGTACTTGGAGATGCCGTAAAACATGGCGTTACAGTAGTCCAAACAAGAAACAACAAGGCTATTAACAATTGTCTTAAGCTGTTTTGTAGTCAGCAGAAACCGTATCTTAGTGAGGTTGCGTAGTGTTAGGAAACATTTCTTCTTCAACTCAACAACATGGTTGCTCATAGTAAGCCCAGAGTCCATATGTATCCCAAGATTCTTAACTGTGCTCACAAATCGAATAGTTGTGTCACTCCCAAAATTCACTCCCTTTATATTGATCTCTCGTAGGACCGACATAGGACCAAAAACGATTATCTGTGTTTTACTGTCATTCATTGCTAGAAAGTATTTTTTCATCCAAGCTCTAATAGATGCAAAGCATCCCCTGAGCTTAGAGAGTAACGTTTCGCACTGGTTGATGGGTTTAAATCTCTTTAAGATCTGGTGGTCATCTGCATACCCATAAATTGTGAAGTCCATTCCTTGTACAAATCTATAGATGGATCTGATATAAAGGTTAAACAGAACAGGTCCCAGAACTGAGCCCTGAGGAACACCAAACTTAATAACTATTTCTTCAGAGAGAGTAGAACCAAGTCGAATTCTCTGAGCACGACCTTTTAGAAAGCTAGTAAACCATTTTAACACAGTGCCCCTTAGTCCTATCTCCTTCATGAGAATGTTCAGTAAGACATCATGGTCTACAGTATCAAACGCCCCCTTTGTTCTGGTCCAGAGCATTAGCCAGGCAGCTTCCCGGTTTTTCGGGCGGCTGGGTGGGTCTTGGGCGGGATAGGTGTGGCTTCGGGCCCCTCGTGGTATGGTCTGGGATCTGGGGGTTGGCACGGGGGTGTGGCGGGGACGGGTGAGTGATGCTGGCTGGAGGGACGGTTACTATTCTTACCGACCAGCTTAAGCAAGTAAAGTTGTTTGCAGTCGGGACGGATGGGAACTTTGAATCGACAGTTAGCATTGCGATCCTGGCTCTTGTCATGCTTTCGGGCCTTGGACCCGTTTCTCGGGGCAGGCACGGGGGGTTTGGACGCCCGCCTCTCGTCTGTGGGCCTCCTTGACGCCGTGAATTGCTGGGATTAAAAGTACGGCGGCGGAGTCAGTCCTGAGCACCAGAGCATTCGTGAAGACTCCGCCCGCTTACTCTGATTTTTCTGACTGTAATTCCTTTCAATCCACTTCTTGTTGATGTCTTTCATTCTTGGATTGATTGGAACTGCAGCCTGGAGTCAGTTAAGTGACCTTGACGTGGTAAGGGGGCTTACTCGGCATCACTCGACCTGCCGAAACTAAGCTGTACTGTCCAGCTGGGCATCACTGGACATAAGTCGCACGTGCACTTCCTTTGGCTATTTAACTCACCTGATCCTTCCTCCCTGAGCACTCACAGCTTTCATTCACATTGAGCTATAGGGTTTTTGAAGTTTAGGGTGTGCGCTTCAGGTCGGGCCCTTAATGCCGATCATTAGCACCCATTTTCCCTGTATTATTGGGCGGCATTTCAACACTGTCGTCGTAGTATTTCTCAGCATCTTTCTACGATTCGCAGAAAGTGTTAAAACTCACGATACACCCTCACTGATCACCCATTTGCTTTATAGATCGTGGATAGAGTGTGCTTCGGCAAACACGAATGTATGTGTACGGACTCTTGGGTCTGACTCATGCACTTTGTGCACCGTCCACGAACCCTATAAAGTAATATACTGTAACAACAACAACAAACAACCCTTATTACACACCAAAATCATTAACCACAAATCTATCGTAGCAAGACAAGTTACAAAAATGTCCAACTCCGGTGAAACACAGCAAATCGACAACATCAAGGAATCCGCAGGTAAGCCATTTCCTTCCCAGAGAATTTGGCTCAATACAATCCTAACGACAATCACCAAATCTACAACCAAAGTACCAATGTTTTCGCGCGGAAACGCGCAATCTACACGAACGCAACATATTATCACAAACAAAGAAAACAACCCAATTACCCCCACAGAGAGTGAATCGATCTCCAGCACGACGACGAACGAACTTCTTCGACTTGAAGTATTGGAGGACAGCACCTCAGTCTGTCCCTCTAACAATACCAACGATTTATTGAACTCACCCCAAACGGACACCTCAAATATACGACGAAAGTCGTATATTAGTGAAAACTCTACAAGCACGGACCACACAATCAGACAACAGCTCAAATACAGCAACATTAAAGGTGACGCCGTTGAGGATCTGAGACGGAGAAACCGGGAACTTCACAGACAGAGAAGAAATTCTGGACGTGATTCAGTAGCCTCTGGCAACAGAGGGCTCCACGATCAGGATCTCTTCGAGGACGAAAGTGATGTTCCGGTGGTCTCCCTCAGTTCTCCCGCGGAGGCGACTGCCGCCCCGTCCGAAGTCAGCCCAATGGAGGTGACGGATGCGAAAGCTCCCGCAGTTGAGCCCAAACCTGAGTCGATGCCGATCCAAGATAACACCGGGTCGGGATCCTCGGGAATGGACAAAACTCGGAAGCCGGAACAGCCTGAAACCTCCACCGCAATTCTACCAGTACAGAAAAGCGGGGCTGAAAAGAGGAGGAGGAAGCAGAAGTCCAAATCCGAAAGACAAAAGGAAACAGACAACTCAGACTGCGAAACAGAGGCTGTGAAACTGACAGACCCCGACGAGGTTTTCAGGAAGGGTGATCCATTACTCACCCTGATCGTAACCAAGGCGGAGGCACTCAGTGACGCATGTGATCACATCACACGTCTTCTGTTCGTGGTCTCACAACCACTCAAAATCACTCTACTGCAACCAACCATCGACGGGGCAAGGATAGAGGTGGAGGATAAGCCATCGGCCATCACGATCGCAGAAACCCTTCGTAGAGAGGGGTGGAAAGTGACTGAGACTGATGTGTGGAACCGATACCAATTTCCTGTTCCATTCCAGCTCTCTGGATTGGAACACGCTGCGGACGGGTTGGACCCAGTAACTTTGGTTCGCGGGCTTATATCTCGGAACGTCCACTACGGCTTGCCGTTGGACTCGATCCGATATGTATCGCACGCATGGGAAACAGTTAAGGTGGAGGCGGCTGAAGGTGGCACTGCGGCGGCGCGACGGCGGATGCGTTTATGGGTTGATGTCTCACCTCAGGGTGAAGAATACCTCATGAAGACAGGTCATCTCCTGTGCACGCTGACCGCTGCCGTGCGCCTCAGGGAGGCCCCCCGCAACCGCACCTTCCGTCGTAACAGGTCCTAGGACCTTGCATGATGGAGGAGTATCAGTCGCTTCAACTACTGTTCCCCAGACCAACAATATCCCCCCTAATAACACCACCCATAGCAACACCAACATCAACACTCATCACAACAACAACAACAACAACACTAACAACAACAAAAACAAAAACAAAAAACGACACAATAAGACACAGAGGGGCAGACTGTGTCAAAAGACTACTCAAAAAAATGGTAAGAATTGCTTGGATTCTTATTCTATTACTCAGATTAACCTCAAACGCAAGTTTAATGCATGGAAAACCCTCCTAGCCAACATACATGGCAGGAAAAATCCAGTCATTCTTGCTACTGAACCGTACTCGAATAACAAAAATATCATACCACCTATAAATAAAGATCTATCCAACTTCTACTACAAAATCGGGGATAAAAGACCCCGTGCCGCAATTGTACTGCACAAAAACCTGACAGCTAAATGTTGGGAACTTACACAATTCACAACACCCGATCAAGTGGCCGTTAAAATCCAACTCAGCTCGACAGAACTCATTCTGGCAGCTTCATACATGGATATAAACGGACCGGTACCGCCACAAGAAACATCACCTCTAGCAAAATATGCTAATGATAACAACATCCCGCTCATTATAGGGTCGGACACGAATTCCCATCACACCCTTTGGGGGAACAAGACATGCAATACGAGGGGAGAGGAGCTACTTGACTTTCTCTCCTCCCTAGGGCTGTCATGTGCCAACAAAGGATCATCCCCAACCTTCCTCAACTCTCGAGGCCACAATTCAATTATCGATCATACAATAACAAACCAGTTGGGAGGAGACCTCATTAGCAATTGGCATGTTAGTGACCTCTACTCCAACTCTGACCATCGCTATATTATGTTCGACATAACTACAGGGCCAAAGAAGGAACCCAAACAGATCCGACTAGTCAAAAACACTGACTGGGACAGATTTGATGAGATCCTATCGATTAACCCCAACCTTAACAACACACAAATCAACACTACGACCGAAATTGATCACAATATAGACATCATCAATACTGCACTTAAGGAAGCCTTCGAGGAGGCATGCCCCATTACTTACATCTCAAGTTCCGTCCGCAAACCCCCCTGGCTAACTCGAGAAGTAGAGGAAGCACAGAGGGGAATAAGACAAAAACTGATTACAGCCCGAAAAAAGAAAACTGATGCCCTGTGGCTCGCTCTTAGAGAGAGCAACAAACAATACAACAGACTTATATCCAACTCCCAGCGTAATGCCTGGAGAACTTTTTGTCAGGAAACAGAGTCTGTTAAGGAATCCGGAAGGATGAACAAGATTCTGAAATCCTGCAACGACAACAAGCACACACTAGAAGCCGTTTACAAACCAAACGGAGACATCACCAAAAATGCAGAGGAGACACTGGAGGTCATGACACAAACCCACTTCAAGGATAGTGTCACTGACCCGCCAGTGCCTCCACCTGGACCTCTACCAATCACCACCACCTTACTCAATACCATCTACAGCCCAGACAGAATCGAGGAGGCTCTTAAATCCTTTGATCCGTTAAAAGCTGCTGGACCCGACACCCTCAAACCTATCATCATACAGAAAGCTTGGACACACATCAAAGACATCACCAGAACCATTATGACAAAAAATCATGAAACCCAACACATTCCAACTTTGTGGAAAGAATCCCTTGGAATCTTTCTCCCAAAGCCTGGAAAAACTGACTACAACCAACCTAAATCATTTCGCACTATCACCCTTTCTCCTGTGATGTTAAAACTACAGGAGAAGGTGATACTGTGGCATATGCAACACGACCTTAATATCGCTAAAGACATCAACAAACGACAATTTGGCTTTAAGAAGGGATGTTCAACCGAAGCAGCCCTTCATAAAGTTACTCACACCATCGAGCGCAGGATAGCTAAGAAGGGATATGTCTTAGGAGTCTTTCTAGATATAGAGGGAGCTTTTGATAATGTCTCTTTCAAGGCTATTTCTGACGCTATCAAGACCACGAAAGTGGACCCGGCCACAGCACAATGGATTATCAACATGGTAACTAACAGATTCATCACATTAAATCATAAGGATAAGTCGAAAAGGGTTCGGATCCGGAGAGGGTGCCCCCAAGGTGGCATCCTTTCCCCTTTCCTTTGGAACCTGGTAGTCGATGATCTCCTGGCCTACACCGCAAGAGACATACCAGGTTATCTGCAAGCTTTTGCAGATGATCTGCTTTCTCTAGCGGAGGGGAATGATTTAGACATCATCTGGAACAGAACACGCAAAACCATCAACACAATAGAAAAATGGTGCCAAACCAAAGATCTATCCATAAGCGCACTCAAAACACAAATAGTCATGTTTACCTGGAATAAGAAATGGACCCTTAGACCTGTGGTGGTGGGTAACACCACTATAGGACTATCCAAATCTGCCAAATTCCTAGGAGTGACCCTCGACAGCAAGCTCAATTTCAATGAACATATCACCAATACCACCAAAAAAGCTACGGCATCCCTCATGCAATGCAGAAGAGCTGTCGGCCCCACTTGGGGTATGAGCCCTAAAACATGCAAATGGATGTACACCGCTGTCATTAGACCTATTCTATCATACTGCTGTAGTATATGGATTAGGGCAACCCAAACTGACACCAACGCGAGGAAGTTCAAACGAGTTCAGGCATTGGCATTGAGAATGATGTCTGGTGCCATGCCTAGTACTCCCTTCATCGCACTGAACCACCTCACTAACACTCCAGATATCATACTTTTCCTGAGAGGTGAAGCAGCAAAGGGCACAGCCAGGCTTCAAGCATATGGAAGCCTAACCCTCGAAACTATCGCCCCCAGAAAAGGTACCATCACAACTCACACCACTATCAACAAACAATTCATGGTAGACCTCAACATACCACCCAAAGCAGAGAGAGACCTATCTATACCAACCATGATGCTTGAACGACGCTTCACGGTCACCACTCCTGGAGCTGACAACATTGGATATAGAGGCTCACTCCAAAACACCATCGACAACATCCCCAGTGAAACCATCACCTGCTACACAGACGGGTCACGCACAGACTCAGGTAGCGGGGCTGGTTATATTATCACCACAGACAACAACAACACTACACTAGATGAAAGATCATTCAAGCTTCCCGATTATTGCACCGTTTATCAAACAGAACTCACTGCCATCATCGAAGCTTGTAAATATCTATCAACTTATACAAACACACACATCATCATATGGTCAGACAGTCTCTCCTCTATTCAAGCCATATCCTCACCTTCAACGAGGAGTAGGACTACTAGAGACTGTTACGACACCCTCAATACACTCGGATCCACTAACACCTTAGAGATCAGATGGATAGCTGCACACATTGGATTGTGGGGTAATGAAAAAGCAGACGAGCTGGCCAAAAATGGTACAACCAGTGAATCCACTTTGAATTGCCCAATTCCACAATCTTACATCAAACGCCTGATCAACGACAAAGTCACAAAACTTAATCAAGAATCATGGATTACTGATGGTCCCAGACACACTAAACTAACACTTGGACATAAAAACATCAACATCATCAAAAATCTCAACACTACACTCAGTAACAACAGACAAAATTATAGAACTGCAGTGCACCTCATCACGGGACATTGTGGCCTCAACAAACACCTACACACCATTCGCAAATCAGACACAAGTGCTTGTCCTAAATGCGGCGACGAAGAGGAGACTGTCTCACACTTTCTCGGACAGTGCCCGGCTATTGCCCAAATAAGAGGTCAATATTTCCGGGACTACTACCTCTCTGTCAATGACATATTCGACAACCAACACATCTCCACCATTGTCAACTTTACAAACCACACTAAACGCTTAGTGGTGCCAGAGGAGTTGGACCAGACAGGTGTAACATAGCGACTACTTTAACGCCGTCTTATTTCGCCTCTCTCTTCCACACTCAACCACCACTTAAGCGTTTATCTATGACACACCCCACAACACTTACCATCATCCTTGATTACACATCTTGATTCCACTGGCATCCTCCCACAGGACTGCCATACCCCAGAGGTAGGCAAAGCATTCATATGCTATCCTCTCGTGGGCCAACCAGGCCCAGCCTCTCTTAAAAAAAAAAAAAAAAAAAAAAAAAGTATCAAACGCCGCCGATAGGTCAAGCATCATGACAACTGTAGCACTCTTTTCATCTGATGCAACTAGAAGATCATTCCATATTCTGATCAATAATGTTTCTGTGCTGAAGGTCTTCTTGTATGCAGACTGTTCTGGGCAGTGGAGATTATGCTTATCTAAGTGATCGTTTAGGCGCTTTAACACCACTCTCTCGATTAGCTTCCCAAGGAAAGTGAGGTTTGAGACAGGGCGAAAGTTTTTCAAGACATTAGGATCAAGAGAGTTACTTTTCAGGAGGGGAACAATATCAGCAAGTTTGACTCCGTCCATTGAACCTTGAGATAAGGATGCATTAACAATCTGTAGAAGTAATGGTAGCAGAATGCTGATGTTCTCTTTAAGCAGTGTAGTAGGTAAGATGTCAGAAGGTGAACATTTGATACCAAACTCGTCAATGATTTCCTTTAGCTCATCTAATGTGGCAGGTTCAAAGGTAGACCAGTGGTAGGATTCGGGAGCTTCAGCAGAAGAGTCTGATGGAAGAGTAAACCGATCATGATCCATATACATATCTTTCCTAATGTTATCAATCTTAGATGTAAAGTAGGCGTTAAAGTCTGCAGCTAGCTTTGGAAGATCATCTGTGTAATCTGGCAGAGGATTAGATTGTTTACGGTCTAAATTTCTATTGACCAGCTGCCACAAAGTTCTTGGGTTGCCTTTAGAGTTTTCTACCATATTCTTAAAGTACTCCTTCTTCTTCAGATCAGCCATTTTAGAACATTCTGAGCTGATGTCTCTAAACATGATTTTATCTTCAAGCGTTGCTGTTGGTTTACGAGTTTTTGCCTCGGCTTTTCTTCTCAGCTTTCTGTAGTCCCTGTATTCATTATCAAACCAAGGTGCAGAATCAATTACAGATACCTTCTTGGAGACTATTGGAGCATGCTCATCTAGGAGTTCAGCACACAAGTCGTTCAAGTTGGCAACAGATGCACTCATATCAGTAGTTCCAATTTTCCCAAGATCAATCAAGTTTACTATATCGAAGAGATCACTGGTAAATTGGTCATCATCCACAGTCTTCAAATTTCTGTAAGTGATATCTTTAAAATATTTCTTTTCGAATTCCAAAGAGAAGTCACAATAGACTGGAAAATGATCTGATCCATGCCTATTCACACTATCAACCAAAACCTTGCATTGAAGCTGATTCTTGATAGAGAAGCAGAAGATTTGGTCTAGTGATCCACCAGCAACATGGGTTGGTTCATTAACATGATGATTAAATCCGTAAGACAGAAATAAGTCAAGCGTCTTCCTAACAAGCTTGTCATTCTTATTCTCAAAATGAATGTTCAAGTCCCCAGCAATGACGAGACAATCACACTTCATGGTGATGGCTGACAGAAGTAAATCAAGTTCCTGATGAAAGATAGAGGAGAGATAACCAGGTCGATACAAAGAGACAAACATGACCTTAGTGCCTGTTGCTGTTTTGATTGATGCAGCTGTGTACTCAAATGTAGAGAAAGTAGCAGAGCATTGGAACTGAGACATTGAGTATTCTCCCCTAAACAACAAAGCAGTTCCACCACCTTTTTTGTCTTTCCTGAAATTATGTATGATTCTGTAACCGTAAGACTTAATAATTGCAGTGGTGGGGCAGTTAACATCTGTTAGCCAAGTTTCACAGAATGCAGCAATATCAATGCTTTTGTCTGATAAGTTGCACATAATATCGTTTACTTTGTTAACAAGTGACCATGGATTGAAAAGGAAGAATTTCAGACAGCTCAGTGATTTCTGTCCGTGTTTTGGCTTTGGTAAAAAGGGGTGGTCTTTTTAACTTTCTCCTGCAAATCTTTGAATATGGGGCACAAAACAGGATCATAGGCTGCATGTAGAAGCTCATTGCCATGCTTACCAGCTTTCTTGCAGTTTGAACAACACAATGGAGCGGAGCGATCACATGTCCGTGTTTCATGTGCTCCTGCACAAAAGCCACAGACATGTTCACTTTTGCAATGACCTTGGTGACTTTTGCTATGGTGACCAAATGATTGACAGTTAAAACATCTGAGGACAAAGAAGCTATCATAGACTTTGCAAACTCTCTGAGTTCCAATAAAGAGCTTATCACCTTGTTTAGCAATTGCAGATCGTACAAGATTACTGACACGAACAATGGCTTTGAAGGAGTTCTGGTCATTCTTTAGGGGTACTATAGCTACTACATCAATTTTCTTGTCTTCTATACTGGTACCTGGATCATTGATGAGCAGATCTATTCCATGGTTTTGACTAACTATCATTTCCTTTATTTCCTCCTTCAAGTAATCACGCTCAAGACCAACAACTGTTATTCTTGGTAACTTTGTGGCTACGGTTGATGTACTATGTTGGGGGGAAGCTTTGCTAAGCTTCTCACGCAATGTTTCTGCCTCAGACCTAGAGTTAAGAATAACGGCAGTATCATTAGATTTGAGCTTCATTGTGTTAACAATACTAATCTTATTCTTGATGCAGCTTTCTTCCAACATACTTTTATCAATTGGTTTGCCACTCTGATCATTCTTAATTACAATCATGCTGCGAAGTTTCTCAGTCCTCTGAGAATCATCCCATGGGTTGCAGGGAGTCATTGGAGGTTTTGCTAGAGCATTGTTTTGCTTACTTGGCAAGATTTCCTTAAGCATCTCTTTTACACCGGACAGTTCTTCAGCAAAATTCTGCTTTAACTCCTCAATCTTTCTGTCAACGTAAACATTAGCAGCTCCCCCTGTGCTTTGCTCTGTCATCTCCTCTTTAACTGTAATACAATGGTTACAAAAGAACAAGAATCTGCCAAATCTTTTCTCATAGGACTTGGTGTTAGAAACAGCTGGTCCCAAATGGGAAGTGAAGCTAGATGGGGCACTAACACAATAGGAATCATCTGTGCAGCCTACCGCATGGAAATTGTTTTTACAGTCATAACACTGAACTCTGTAGTCAGGATTAACTCCCTCCTGACAGTGGTTACAACAATCATTTTGTATGATGTTGGGAGCAGCTATGTAGGTCCTTGTACCCTCTGTGTTCTGGGGAGAGAAATCAGTTATAGATGATTTAGGAGAATCAGGCATAGCTAAGTTTAGTAGGTCAGGGGTTGCTGTGTAAGGATTGTAAACTTGTAAGACAGTCGAGACTCCAACAGAAAACAATAAAGACAACCCACCGGAAGAGTTCTGACTTATGGGTCAGATACCCTTTGATAGTTTTGGTTTGAAGGGGAAGAGGGCTATCAAGGATAGAACACTCCTCTAGTAACTGTGTATCGCTTGTGTCTGTATCGCTTTTCAACTTATTGCCACGACATACTTTTCAACACGTGCCATACCTCAAATTATTTGTTATATAGTAGTGTTGAAAGTATTAAAATCATAAAATTCACATAATGGAAAAAGGATGAAAGGGATGAACAAAACATAAAACAGCTATAAAGACACTCCGAAGTAGAGAGAAGCGAGGTCTTGTTAGATTAAAATACCTATCACATGAGCACATTTTACTTTAAAATTGTATTTTTTTTTTTTTTTTTTTTTTTTTTTTTTTTTTTTTTTTTTTTTTTAAATGAGGAACCTGCCAAACCCCAGGACACCAGGAGGATACCACCGGCAAAGCGGCTAATAGTACCCTCCGGTCTGTGTTGTACCGAAGAAGCTGAGTTAATCGATCAAGACTCGGCTTGCCAGCCAAGAGGCAAAATCTGAGCGGCACCAAGGGTTCAGAGAGTGTCATTTCAGCTTCTCCGGTGCTGGATGCCCTGGGGTTTCACATGCGCCGTAGCAAAATAAATATAAAAACACACGCACACAATTTTTTTTATTCTTTTAGATAATACGTCGAATAAAGTCAGTGGATATAGAGTAATAAAATGCACATAAGATGGAGAGAAAAAGGAGAGATACTACTGGTTTTAAATATGACTCTATATCAATACTAGTAGTGGAGATAGATAACTCCACTGGCTACAACTTGTGAAATAAAGGGTAAAGGTAAGGCACGGCTGTAATTTCGAGAGAATAAATAAACAAGAGTGTATAGAGGATCCAGAACTTTGGGTATAAAATGGTCATCAAGGTATAACGTCTTTTAGACACCGTATAATATCCGGTTTTTCACCTAATAAGAAAAGCTTAAGATGTTTAAGATATCGCTCCCAGAATAGGGGTTCCTTGTTCTGGAAACTCCTTCCAATAAACCAACAGCAAACCGAATTTATGAAGTTAACACTTTTATCTCTGTGATTTAAGCAAATCAAATAGTGGCGATATGGGTCGTCATAATTTGCGTCAATATTCGATCTAATAAACAGATTTACTCCTCTGTATCCAGAGACTTCTTAGGCTGAACTTTCTTCTTTCCATTCCCTCTGCCACGTTTGTATCGAGCAATCAGTCCACTAAAATAATTCATAACCCGATCTTGGGAGATGTTGCCCGTTCCTTTCTTCTTGTCATTAAGACCAAGAGGGAATGCTGTCCCAAGCTTCTCTATCCAGTAATCCTCCAGGAGAAGTAAATCAAATTAGTCAGAATCTTTATATTTTTATCGATTTCCCTAAACAAATATCAAGTTCTGCACGGAATGTCCAATCAATGTAGGTTTAGTACCAAGAATTATGTCAGTAATCATAAAATTCACATAATGGAATAAGGATGAAAGGGATGAACAAAACATAAAACAGCTATAAAGACACTCCGAAGTAGAGAGAAGCGAGGTCTTGTTAGATTAAAATACCTATCACATGAGCACATTTTACTTTAAAATTGTATTTTACTTATTACTCCATGTTTTGTCCCATATTTTGGTTGCCACCCTCTTTATGACCAAGGTGCAGCTTGGTCCTGACTTTCCTATTGTCAAGACAAGGGATTTAAATGACCCTTTCCACTACCATACAACAAATTACTTGAAAATTTTAACATCCAAGTCCATTGTTGCTACGATTGATTGATAAAATTTGCTGTTTTCTCAAAACTTTTAGTTTTTATGCTGGTGACTATTACAAGGACTGAATAAATTGAATGATGGTACGTACACATTATGCAATAACTAATGTTAGGATACAAATTGATGTCAGCAGATTTTAATTAGGCTTTTTTAGTCTTTAGAATTTCACTGCAAGTGTTTCATAAGTCGATCAAGTCTGGTACACACAGATTACAAAATCCAAATTTGTATTATTGGGCTCATCAAAAAACAAAACCCATTTATTAATTGGTGCCTCGGATTTTGAAAAAATTGACATACGTTGCATGCCACTTTTCGCGCGCGAAGCGCGCGTCGCCGAAGGCGGAAAAGTAATATCTCTGATATTTGTGATACGTAACATGTATCAACAATCAATGAAAACATGACCTGATGTTTAACTGCCTATACTGATAAAAAGTCTTTCCGCGCAGTTAAGTTAAATTGTTAATATAATAGTGTAATCGATCACATCGCTTGGGTAGGGGTAGGACGTAAGTATATTTACATATCCAAAATGCCGATGATCGATCTTTTACCACATCCCATGCCGCATTCATGATTCAACGGTCGCGCGCTGCTGCAACCGAAAGAGCTTTGGTTAGAGTAAGGCATTTTAACGTACTAAGTGACGTGTTTGTTTCGGCTTACTTGGCAGCGCTCAACCTGTCATTCCGCCGAATTTCTAATTTACTTTGTTTGTGAACATAATAGCTTGGCCGCTTGGGGTCCCTAAGTAAGTTTCGCAGTGAGTGTGCGCTACTGTAAGGCTCTGGTTAGATCAAAATCAATATTACATGCGTGATTAAAAATTGTTCACGTTGAAATAATTAATTAACGGAAGGACTAGCGCGCGGAGAAAATATGAAATAGCGCACTTAAACAAACTTTTTATGTTTATACAATAACTTACCGATTAAGACACGCGCTGAGTTGGACACGTCAATGGTCTTTGAACATGAAACAAATATTTTACAATTATCATGTCACGGCCCATTAAGTTGAAACAAATATGATATGCGCACGCGGCGTTGCTGTATCCAAAGCCTTTGCGCTTGCAGTAGCGCGCGCCCGCCTCACGGCGCGCTTGACTTGTGAAACAAGCGCGCTTGATTGACGATGTTAATCCTTCGCATCTCGCCGATATTGGATGCTCGCGCGACCCAGCTAGTGTAGTGCATCGCGCTACAACAAGCACGCCCGCAGCGGCGCAAAAGCACATGGTTAAGTGAACACGCGGCGCGCAAAATGACAACGTTCTCTAAGGTTGCAATTTCTAAAACCCAATGTATTTTTATTAAATTTAAACGCACATGTTATTTAAACTAATTATTAAATATTCAAATATTTAAAATATGGTCGTGGATTCACATTTTATTTAATAACAATTTTAAATAAATGAAATCATTTTTGTATCACGTCTTGCCGAGTTGGACTGTATATGGAACAAATATTTTACGAGTATCACCCGTTAATATCACGTCGCATGACCCCCATACCATTGTTGACCCCCATACCACGGTTGTTTTACTATAGTGGAGTTTCACTTTGGAGGACTTCGCCGCTTCGACGCGCCGCGCGAACTAGTATTCTTGCTTGCATTCTTCGTCGATCGTTGCTCTGCTTCGCAGAGCAACGATCTCGATGGGTTGACATCCTTAACCAAAGTTTCACTATAGTAGAGTTTTTACCATACACGGGGGCATAAAGCACACAAAATATATTTATTTGTAGTTTTCTTGAATTGCTCTAATATAACTTGATTGACGATGTCAATCCTTCGCATCTCGCCGATCTGTGGTTGCGAGAAGCATTATTGGATGCACGCGCGACCCAGTAGTGCATCGCGCTACAATAATATAACCAAAGCAAGAGCCCTGATTTAATGTCGTTTTAGCACACAAAAGACAAAAAATATACTAATTATACATCATGCAAGATATAAATCATGTTTTTCTTTATTATTTATAACATAATTGGTTTCCCTCAATTCTTACTAATACTTTATTTGAAACAACCTCATAATAAATTCATTAACATAACTAAGTATCGAAAACTTTTAGAAATCACACATTTCTTTGAATCCTTCTAATTTAACTTTAAAGCTTAAAACTGTCTTCGAGTTCTTGAAATTCGAAAGATTTTCCGAGATGATTTAGCTCCCTCCGTAAAGAATTTTTACTTTGGTAGCACTCTTACTACAGCTTCAGTTTGAAACAAATTTAGTCTGGATCTGCTTTGTGCTTATTCTAAACAAATCTGCCCCAGTATCTAACAAACTGCTTATAACCTTGAATGCTCTGATTAAGGGAAACAAAAATTTGTCCACAAGAAAAGCCTTTGTGGGATCCCTGGAACAGATGAAGGAAGACAGATATCTATCTTGGTCAGTGGTCTTTCACCATTGCTCTTTAGGTTTCAAGTATCATTCCATTACACAAACTTACTAGCTGATCTTTTATTCAAATTAGTTAAACTCGCATTGATATTAGAATGGTCAATGGGATGAAATTGTGAATTTGAAACATGTATAATTGAATTCTAAAATGTAAATTAGGATGCCTAAATCTACTCGGTATCCACTCGAATATCTTAAGATTTTAAATGGATGGAAATTAATTTTCGATAAGAGCTAAGTCTTTTTGGATTGAACAACCAACAGGGGGTGCATTTTCGGCGGGGGGGGGGGGGGGGGGGGGGGGGGGGCAACTTTACGCCACTGGTGCAAACTACTTCATTATTTTTGAATTGATAGTGTCAAGCATTATTGTATACAGGCTAAGCTTTGTGACTATTTTCAAGAAATTAAACTATGTCTTTATATCATATAAAAGCAAAGGCCAATACACATGATGTTGTGCTGTTTGTGTCCCATCCTGATATGTAGGAGTAAAATGGAGAACATAAATATAAAAATATGAGTTTTCATCTTGATAATTGACTTAAAGGCCTTTTTAGTTATCACTGATCCCCATTTAAAGATATCTTTGTTAAGTGAAATTTCATAAAACTGCAGCAAAGCATCCCACATTTACATTATGATTTTTATGAAGTCAATCCATACATCACCTGTTCATCTACATTTAACTTTATATAGAATCACAATCTAACAAACTCACCTAATTGTTCACAAGTTGGAGTTATGGCAGCAGAGAAAGTGGTACCCTCTGTACAGGTTATAGTGTTGCTACCTTTAGCAGAAACCCCTTTTCACATGACACCGTCAGCACTGTTCCTGCATCTACCGGGAATGTTTCTATGGATGTGAGCTGACTCCAGGCTGGATCCAGACCATTGCATTGTGTGTTAGAGTTATCTATGGAAAATGATGTTTCAAAGAAATTTAGAATATTTAATAACGTTCAAAATGATAGGTTATCAATGTGAACCTATCAATATTCATTTATATGAATTTCTTTTGATTTTTAATACGTGACATATCATATCAATAAAGTTTATATACTAGTAATTGTGTCAATTTACCTAGTTCGTATCGGTAGTGTGTGGAAACTTTATCTCCCCTTTTGGAGGGTGTTTCAAATCTTAATCCCGCCAACGTCAGCCTCATTTGACATGTGGCACTATCGCTGTTATCCTCGAAAATCCATGTGACCTCAAGATTATCATCAAACCAAACTTGGAGCTGAGTGGCAGTCTTTAGGAAAGTCAAAACTCCAGCTTGTTGGAAGAATCCCTCTGTCCCTTTGAATTTGTAGCCACCATTGCATTTGGCACTGTTTACAGACCCTGCTAAGAATGTAAACCAGCCTATTCCTCCTCCCATCGTCCATCTGATGTCGTTAGATCCATCTATCTTCTTATCAGTCCGCATCTGGAACCTCTTTTCTTCCACTATTTCGTTTACATATGTGCTCTTGTCTTCGGGAACCAAGAACCACTCACTGTACTGGGTTCCTGAAAATCAATGATCTTCAACGCCAGTTCTGGCAGTTGAATTATAAATCACGATTAATAAGGATTAGGGGCCTTTTTGCTTAGTTTTTATCGGATTTTGTTTTACGTATGGACAATTATGACATCTTATTAAAGTAAACGGATCGACAAAGTTATTTAGTCTATCATTTTATCAGTATCATTATAAACTCATCTCACAAAAATGGCCCCGTTTTGACGTTCACTGCTGTAAAACATACCTTCTGTACTGGTTATTGAGAGTGTGAGTATCACTGTAGCTATCAATGTAGAGACTGGTATTCTACTCATTCTACAAAATATTTCGTACTGTATCCAATATTTGCAATGTTACTACTATATTGGGGAAGGGGTTTGGAAAAGCACTATATCATATTCAATATTTGCGATTAAAATGATAAAAATAACGACACTTCTACTAACACAACTGCAGTTCTGTATTACATAATGCACAAGAATCAACAAATAGGTCGATTTCTTTGCAGCCGATGACTCTTCTTTTAAATCACAATACAAGGCTTCCTTATCAAAACATAGCTACATTTAGTGATAATAACGGGGACAAAATAACCTATCAAGAAAGCACAGCTAGAAAACGAAAGATATCATAGAATGTTGAAACCCTTAATAGTTACAAGATAAGTTAATTTAGTTTGATCCTTTAGTCCTATGATGATAATTAAGTACGTTGATAATGGCATAAAGCTTTTGCTTGAAGTTTTGAAACTTAACTAATATTTGGTGTGGTTCAGAAAGTGATAAGTGCTATTATGTATAATGTATATATGATTAATGATAAAATATTATTTAATTTCATCATGTTGTAGCAGGTCAACATTGAAACGCGTCGCCCACTCGCCCGTTGAAATAATTTTTCAACTGCGAAAACGAAAACACGTGACAGCTCAGACACAATTCACATGTAGTTCACGTTATATTAACTAGTAGGAACCCACCTAACTCTAAAGTGGTTCAAGACTCAAATAATTATTACCTATTCAATTCGCGGTTTTGACACCACCTCGGGGTCCAAATTTTGGGCACTAAACTTCTTATTCTTTGGCCAATTTTCTATTTTTCATGCTGATTTGAAGGCCATTAAAGCATTTGAACCAGCCAAAAAAGTTGTAGTTGTATATCTTTTACGGTTTTTGCGGAAAGTCGTGTTAAAGTTGATGCCGTGGTGTCAGTAAAATGGTACGGATATATAAATAAATATATATAAATAAACATACATATATCAACTCGCTATATATATAGTAAGATGACTAACTTAACGTGAACTTATCAAGGAGACAATATTTAAAATAGTTTGTGATTCGGTCCTTATATGCAGCTGTTTAGTTCTTAAGATAAATGAATGTTAGCTATCAAGTCCTGGAATCCACGCTATGCTTGCTGTAAGCGTGAGGTATATCATATAAAGTTTCAGATTGTTAAAGCTTACTAAAAATAAAACTTAAAACTCAAGTTATGAATAAAACAGTGTGTAAAATAACAATTTTAACCGTGTATAATTAAATCCGTGCTTGATTTTAGCGCCCGGTTTCGACTATGCCAACTATCACCGATAAAGGTAGCTCAAGTTATATATAAGTTAGCCTTAGTAATATAAATTTGAGCTATAAATACAGAGAAAACGATCAGCTGATGGACAAAATTTATGTGCTGGTGACTTTGTGTGTGGTAATAATAATCTCGTTGCGGTTGCACCTCGTGACCAGACTGACCACGCACGGTCAGTTTTCCTTGTTATTGTTGTTTACTCTTGCCCGGATTGTAGTGCCCTAAAACAACACTTTACAATAATATATTGTGATATAATACACTAGAAAATTCTGAATATACTCTGAATAATAATTATATGGTGTAAGATCAATTGTATCGCAATAAAACTTGGTTGACATTCAAATTTCTAATCTAAAATGAAATACCAGCAGTAATGGCTCCAGTTAGTGGTGTAGGAACAGATCCCCACATAGAGCTGTCCCAAGCCGCGCAATGTGGCGACTATTCCACCCTCGATACCATCCTCTCTTTTGGCAAAGTTGAGATCAGGAGACCTGGACCTAATGGTCTCAGTCTCATGTTGTTAATCGTCCACGGAGCTGGACGTGACTTGAAACCTGCGCAGCACCTTCAGTGTGCAAAGAGGCTTATCAAAGCTGGTGCTCCTTTGGATGAAGTCGATAGAACTGGTGAGTGTTGTTGAAAATTATCTTTTTATGTGATAAAGTATCTGTGGAATAATGTCTCATCATTTTAAACAGATTTTATAATATAAAAATACAATATAATTTCCTCAGGCCGGTGTGCATTACATTGGGCGGTAGAGTACGATAAACCAGAGCTGCTGGAGGTGATGTTGAGGTCAGGAGCCAGCAAAACTATCCTAGATGAAGAGATGAAGGAACCCTTGGACATAGCTGTGGAGCTCAGCAACATCAAGTGCATCAGTATTATTCTGCGTAGTTGTTCTAAAGAGGTCAGCTATTTTCTGTGTTGTGATTTGTTTTTGCGCGGTCTTCCCCGAAAACGTTTTTGATCACATTATTTTTGGGGCCTCCCATGAGTTTTTTTTCGGTTGCATTAATTTCAATAATTAAGTTTCCAGGAGTTGGATTCCCCCAACGAAGAAGGTTTCACATGGCTGATGCGTGCTGCTGCTAGTGGAAACATGGAGGTGTGTCGTGAGCTGTACAACGCTGGTGCCAGCCCCAACATCATTGAACCTAAAACCGGACGAACAGCTCTCCACTTCTGCGCTGAATTCGACCAGGCTCAGGTACAATATACATACAATGTACATATCACTTACTTTTTAAAAAGTTATTGTTATTATCACGCTGCCTGATGCATACCAGGTATTTCCATACCTAGCGTAATCAACAAACACCTCCTCAGTCTCTGATAACACTACTGGGATGTGAAGGAGACCCCAAGATCCGAGATAAGGACGGTCGGACTGTAGCTCACGTAGCTGCTGAAAGTGAAGCTATAGGCTGTCTTCATGTACTTATCGAGGCTTGCACTTTACTCATTATGGAGGTAACGAATGTGAACAATGCATATCCGCAAGCGTTTACTTGATACGACGTTTATGATAATGTCAAGTGTGGCGTCAATTCTTATTATTTGAAGTATTTTCATTGCTTTTGCAGACCATCACAACAACAACAAGCGGTTAAGTTAATTTGATCAATCTCGATTATATCAGGTAGCAGATGATTCAGGAAAGACGCCTCTCATGCTGGCGTGTAGACACGAGCATGAACAAACTGTCAAGGCTCTCATCTCTAAAAATGTATGTTTTAAACTTTCGAACGCTTCAGTTTCGAATCCCTGTTGTCCTCCTCCACGCCTTCGTGCCCAGATTTCAATCAGATTATTCCAGCTTTACTCTCATTGCGTCCTTAAGTAGTCTGGATCCGTTTTTTACAGAACACGAATTTCTTTGGTAATGGTTGTTCCGTTATATTTTATTTTTATATTTTCACTGTTCACTGAATCTCAGATTAATCCTATGGCAAAAGATTACAACGGACAAACAGCGTTGCATTGGTGTGCTAAGAACACAAACGGTAAATGCGCGAAGATTCTCTGCAAATATCGAATGTGAGTACTGTTTTTAATCTAATCTAAAATTAAGTTTTATTACAAAAAGAAGGATCAGTGATCGTCGATATAGGTAGAACTTATTATCGTTATGATAATAAGATGTTTTTCATTGAACTCCTGACTATCCACTCGCCCAGAGACCTGACGAAAGCGAAAGATAACGACTCTCACACACCGCTTCATCTTGCGTGTATAGCTGGAAGCGAGGAGGTGGTCAACAAGCTCCTCGAGTTCGGAGCTGATACCACAACTATGGACGACGAGTTCCACACTCCACTACATCTCGCTACTGGTTCGTCAGCTGAACTTGAGTCTTATAGATTTTCTTAATTTTTTATTCTAAGTTCATGTTACACACTAAATTCATAGATACTAGGTTCTAAAAGAAAAAGTCTTTGAATTTCGGAAATGAAAAGGTTATAAATAGTTGATTAATTATCATCCTGGTGTAAGAGGTACAATTGAAAAGTCCGAAATAACTAATACAAATGGTCATAAATCATACAATACCACAGTTATCGTACTTGTCGAAACATCCGCAAATCTATGCCAAGATTACAGTTTCGTTTTAGTATTTTTTCTTATCTTTGAATAATCAATTATCTGAATGCCCAGGGCCATGAATGGTCCATTTCAATCCCGGGAAACCCACTACTTTGATATTGCTGGTACTGAATTGATATGGCACCGAATTTTTGAGTTTGGTAATTCCTTCATTAAAAGTCAAACAGTCAATGTCAGAAAAAAAAATGGAAAAATAGAAAAAGCATGATCAGTAAGACAGAAATAACGAAAAATATTGTAAAATCGTAGATTATTTAAATGATTGAATAAACGCTCAAAATTTCCGGGGATATTCAAACATAAATAAGATATACGATACCACTAAGCATTCTCTTTTACAATGCATATAGAAATCACACAAAATGTAAGGCATGTTTATCGTCTATAATCGTGTACACGCCATCCGATCCGCTGTCACGTGATTACGAATTGGCCGTCCCAATGGCGGTGACGGAGATATGAATGCTAGGAACTTGGTCACTAAAAACTTTCTAAAGCTGGTGACAGTTAATGAGTATATAAAAAAGTTTGCCATGATGTTGAGATTCAGAATGAATAAGAATGATCGCCAAACGGCAGGACTGTAGTGAATCTTGTGTCTTGTCACTTCCAAAAACAAACAGGAGACAGCGGTGGTGACGTACACAAGTACAATTAATATTGTTGTTAGTAGTCCTTGCCTGCGTAATCTTTTCCCATTTCTTTTGGCAGTTTTCCTTGCTTTAAGTAGAAGGAATGTAGAGGATAAGACGAGAACTGTGTTAATTACAACTGAACAAGTGATCAAATGAATAATGGCAACCAAATTCAACCAATTGGGAGCATGAGTTAAACTTATATCATAATCGCACGAATAAAGGACATAACTAAAATGAATAGAGTCAGTCGCAGAAAAAAAGATTTGGATTACTCTATACGGTGTCAGTAGACTTAATGCCCAAACAATTGCACAGAGAATATGCGCATATTTGCGGTTCCAAGTTCTTGATCTAAAAGGGTACTTGACAATCAAAAACTTGGCTCCTGCGAGGCACATAGTGAGTCCTCCCGTGACACCAAACAAACACAGCGTCCTGATATTTGTTTGAAGGAGACAGAGAAACCGGCCGAACACCCAATCCTGTGCAAGAAGCGATATTACCGAGGGTAGGACCCGGAAAACGGACAGTAATAAATCGTTAACCGCTAGGTGTTGGATGATGACTATGACGACTCGATGTAGGGTGATCGCTTTGTATTTTATTGTAGCTACCAGGATAACAGTGTCCCCCAGAAGTGAAGAAAGTAAAATTATGATGTTGTAAAATGTCCAGGCGATTCTTTCAGTCTCGTTTTGAATCCCAGCTTCTGTGAAGTAGACTGTACGAACCATCTTAGCTTCCTGTTATTTAATGTAATTACAAAGTTTAGCTGAGTTCCATCAATAGAGAGAACCAGGATAAGTCATGCTGCAATGATCGAATTGGGTATCGAGTAGGGATATGTTCGATTACATGCCGTTATAATATTCATTAAAACTTCAAAAACCGCTTTTGTTTGGGGTATAGGACACAAGGGCGGAGGACACAAGGGCGGTAGACACGAAGATGTGGGTCACAAGGGCGTTACTGTCCAAAAATGGTGGACACGAGGGCGAATCATATGGCTCACTTTAACATGAACACGAAGGCGGAACCAAACACTGTCCTAATTCCTAAATGATGGTCGTTTTAATTGAAAGGATTGAGGGTTTGAAATTGAGTAAAAACATTTCAGTAAAATTCGACTGCCCAAAGTAAATACCCGTCCGTGCTACCCCTGGGGTAGGGGTATAGGACACTAGGGCGTAGGAAACAAGGGCGATACTTTCCTAAAAGGGTGGACACGAGGGCGAATCACATGATTCATTTTAGTATGGACACGAAGGCGGAACAAAAACTGTCCTAAATGATGGTCGTTGTAACTGAGAGGATTGATGGTTTGAAATTGAGTGAACACACCTCAGTGAAATTCGTCTACCCAAAGTAAATACCCGTTTTGGTACGTACTACCCCTGATCTAAACCCGGGTAACCGCGTAGCGTCAGCGACTGCGATATTTTGGATGCCAAGTTTGTCACATGAAAATCTAGACAGTGTTTGATTGGTCTAAGCACGGTACCAAACCCCAAAATATGCTGTTGAGTTGGCTGAGATATTTAAGGAAAATCTCTCAATTTTTGGCTCGTTTAAACCTGGTTGATTATTTGTCACATCAGTATGTTCTGTTTCAAATTTACACGTGAGTAGATCCAATTCTTTGAGCTAAGCTATACCTCAACCTGACAGCAACTTCATTAAAAGTAAATCAGTCAATATCAGAATAAAAAATTTCAAAATAGAAAAAGCATGATCAGTAAGACAGAAATATCGAAAAATATTGTGAAAATCGTAAATTATTTAAATGATTGAATAAACACTCAAAATTTCCGGAGATATTCTCACATAAATAAGATATACGATACAACTAAGCATTATCTTTTACAATGTATATGGAAATCACACAAAATGTAAGGCATGTTTATCGTCTATAATCGTGTACATGCCATCCGATCCGCTGTCACGTGATTACGATTTTGCCGTCCCAATGGCGGTGACCGAGATATGAATGCTAGGAACTTGGTCACTAGAAACTTTCTAAAGCTGGTAACAGTTAGTGAATATATTAAAAAGTTTGCCATGATGTTGAGATTCGGAAGGAAGAAGACTGATCGCCAAACTGCAGGACTGTAGTGAATCATGTTTTTTGTCACTTCCACAAACAAACAGGAGACAGCGGTGCTGACGTACACAAGTACGATTAATATTGTTGTTAATATTCCTTGCCTGCGTAATCTTTTCCCGTTTCTTTTGGCAGTTTTCCTTGCTTTAAGTAGGAGGAATGTAGAGGATAAGACGAGAACTGTGTTAATTACAACTATACAAGTGATCATGTGAATAAGGGCAACCCAATTCAACCAAATGGGAGCATGAGTTAAAGTCATATCATAATCGCACGAATAATAGAAATAACAAAAATGAATAGAGTCAGTCGCAGTAAAGAAAATATGGATTACTCTATACGGCGTCAGTAGACTTAATGCCCAAACAATTGCACAGAGAATATGCGCATATTTGCGGTTCCAAGTTCTTGATCTAAAAGGGTACTGGACAATCAAAAACTTGGCACCTGCGAGGCACATAGTGAGCCCTCCCGTGGCACCAACCATACACAGCGACTTGATATTTGTTTGAAGGAGACAGAGAAACCGGCCGAACACCCAATCCTGTGCAAGAAGCGATATTACCGAGGGTAGGACCCGGAAAACGGACAGTAATAAATCGTTAACCGCTAGATGTTGGATGATTACTATGACGACTCGATTTAGGGTGATCGCTTTGTATTTTATTGTAGCTACCAGGATAACGGTGTCCCCCAGAAGTGAAGAAAGTAGAACTATCATGTTGTAAAATATCCAGGCGACTCTTTCAGTCTCGTTGTGGATCCCTTCTGCTGTGTAGTTGCCTGTACGAACCATCTTAGCTTCCTGTTATTTAATGAAATTACAAAGTTGTTTGACTGAGGCTTATCAATAGAGATAATCAGGATAAGCCATGCTGCAATGATCGAATTGGGTATCGAAAAGGGATGTCTTCAATAACATGCCATTATAAGGCAATTTGGCTATGCACACTCGGGGCACAAAATTGTATTTCCTGGGGCACACTTGGGGCAGATGCAGTTGGGGCACAGCTGGGGCACACTTGGGGCACAGTTGAGGCAAAAAATTACCTGAAGCACAGTTTTACCCCAAGTGTGCCTAGCTAGATTACCAAATTGCCCCATTATATTATTGATTATTCATTAAAACTTCAAAAAACGCTTTTGTTTGGGGTATAGTACACTAGGGTGTGTGACACAAGAGCATTACTGTCCAAAAATGGTGGACAAGAGGGCAAATCATTTGGCTCACTTTAACATGAACACGAGGGCGGAACTAAACACTCAAAAACTGCCCTAATTCCTAAATGATGGTCGTTCTAATTAAAACGATTGAGGGTTTGAAATTGAGTAAAAACATTTCAGTAAAATTCGACTGCCCAAAGTAAATACCCGTCCGTGTCACTCCTGATCTAAACCTGGGTAATTATAGCGTCAGCAACTGTGATATTCTGAAGACCAAGTTTGCCACGTGAAAATCTAGACAGTGTTTGATTGGTCTAAACACGTTACCAAACCCCAAAATATGCTGTTGAGTTGGCTGAGATATTTAAGGAAAATCTCTCAATTTTTGGCTCGTTTAAATCTGGGTGATTATTTGTCACATCAGTATGTTCTGTTTCAAATTTACACGTGAGTAGATCCAATTCTTTGCGCTAAGCTTTACCTCAACCTGACAGCAACTTCATTGAAAGTCAATCAGTCAATGTCAGAATAAAAAATAGAAAAATAGAAAAAGCATGATCAGCAAGACAGAAATATCGAAAAATATTGTGAAAATCGTAAATTTTTTAAATGATTGAATAAACACTCAAAATTTCCGGAGATATTCTAACATCAATAAGATATACGATACAACTAAGCATTATCTTTTACAATGTATATGGAAATCACACAAAATGTAAGGCATGTTCATCGTCTATAATCGTGTACATGCCATCCGATCCGCTGTCACGTGATTACGATTTTGCCGTCCCAATGGCGGTGACCGAGATATGAATGATAGGAATTTGGTCACTAAAAACTTTCTAAAGCTGGTAACAGTTAGTGAATATATTAAAAAGTTTGCCATGATGTTGAGATTCAGAAGGAAGAAGACTGATCGCCAAACTGCAGGACTGTAGTGAATCACATGTTTTGTCACTTCCACAAACAAACAGGAGACAGCAGTGCTGACGTACACAAGTACAATTAATATTGTTGTTAGTAGTCCTTGCCTGCGTAATCTTTTCCCATTTCTTTTGGCAGTTTTCCTTGCTTTAAGAAGGAGGAATGTAGAGGATAAGACGAGAACTATGTTAATTACAACTATACAAGTGATCATATGAATAAAGGCAACCCAATTCAACCAATTGGGAGCATGAGTTAAAGTCATATCATAATCGCACGAATAATAGAAATAACAAAAATGAATAGAGTCAGTCGCAGTAAAGAAAATATGGATTACTCTATACGGCGTCAGTAGACTTAATGCCCAAACAATTGCACAGAGAATATGCGCATATTTGCGGTTCCAAGTTCTTGATCTAAAAGGGTACTGGACAATCAAAAACTTGGCACCTGCGAGGCACATAGTGAGCCCTCCCGTGGCACCAACCATACATAGTGACTTGATATTTGTTTGAAGGAGACAGAGAAACCGGCCGAACACCCAATCCTGTGCAAGAAGCGATATTACCGAGGGTAGGACCCGGAAAACGGACAGCAATAAATCGTTAACCGCTAGGTGTTGGATGATGACTATGACGACTCGATGTAGGGTGATCGCTTTGTATTTTATTGTAGCTACCAGGATAACGGTGTCCCCCAGAAGTGAAGAAAGTAGAATTATCATGTTGTAAAATATCCAGGCGATTCTTTCAGTCTCGTTGTGGATCCCTTCTGCTGTGTAGTTGCCTCTACGAACCATCTTACCTTCCTGTTATTTAATATAATTACAACGTTTGGCTGAAACCTATCAATAGAGAGAACCAGGATAAGTCATGCTGCAATGATCGAATTGGGTATCAAGTAGGGATATCTTCGATAACATGCCATTATAATATTCAATTAAAAGTTCAAAAAACGCTTTCGTTTGGGGTATAGGACACAAGTGACAAGGGCAGTAGACACGAAGATGTGGGTCACAAGGGCGTTACTGTCCAAAAATGGTGGACACGAGGACGAATCATATGGCTCACTTAAACATAAACACGAAGGCGGAACCAAACACTGTCCTAATTCTTAAATGATGGTCGTTATAATTTACAGGATTGAGGGTTTGAAATTTAGTAAAAACATTTCGGTAAAATTCGACTGCCCAAAGTAAATAGCCGTCCGTGCCACTCCTGATCTAAACCTGTGTAACTATAGCGTCAGCAACTGCGATATTCTGAGGACCACGTGAACATCTAGGTAGTGTTTGATTGGTCTAAGCACGTTACAAAACCCCAAAATCTGCAGTTGAGTTGGCTGAGATATTTAAGGGAAATCTCTCGATTTTTGGCTCGTTTACACCCGGGTAATTATTTGTCATTATATCAGTATGTTCTGTTTCAAATTTACACGTGAGTAGATCAATCCTTTGAGCTTAGCTTTACTTCAGCCTGACAGCAACTTTATTACGGGGCGTTAATTATACACTCAACATCAAAACTCTCGCTTTCGTCACTGGAAGCTGCTCGATACACTATTTGAATTTCAGAATGGCCTACACACAATTGCGCCCAATTCACACGCATTAGCAGGTTTTCAGTCAGTGACGTGATATGATTACCATGGTAGCTTGATATAGATTCGGTGCAATTGTCTGACAGCTTCCTGAAGAAAAGGTTTTAGTATCAAATTATACTGAATTAACTGTATACTATTCAAGAAAACAAAAATTTAAGAAAACAACGGTTGAATAAAGTAAATCTATTTCTAATGTTAATCAGGATTGTGGCGGAGTCTTAACTTCTCACATTTGTTTTATTTTACTGGTTCTGTTGTCTATGTAAGATTTCTACAGCGCAACATTTCTCACCCTGCAGATATCGTAAAAACTATGTAATATTTTGGATCGCGAATATTCAATACTGTAGCACGGTACTAAAATTGCTATTTTTTCATTATTTAGAATTTATCTTTATCATTGGAATTTATGATGGGCTTTTATAGATCCGTGTGTTCATCAAACATAACTTATCTAAACCATGTCACGGGTACTCTCAAATAGTTTTGATTCCCACTGATGCCATTATTTCTCACGGGCCATGCATAGCACTCATATCTCCAAGCTACTACAAAGTTGCAGCCGTTATCTAAGTTTAGCACTCTATAGAACGCCTGGCAAGCACTATCCGATGTAGATTCAAATTTTGACATTCTCTCATGCAGCAAAATGTACTGCTTGTAAAATTGCATCGCAGTCATGCATGATATAACTGGTTGTCATGACACCCCGTGTACGCTGTATAACACATCCCAGTGGACGGCTCTTTAGATGCTGGTCAAGTGACCGCGGACAAATTCTTGTTAACTAAAAGTCTTATGCAGTCGCACTTTTCAGCTTCACTGCGCATTTATAAAAGATTTCGTCTAACAACATATGTTATCAAAATGATAGTCACAACTCACAAGCATGTAAAACTGAATTTTACTGTTTTCAGTATCGGGAAACGCAGGGTGCATAGTTCTGCTAGCACAATCGGGAGCAGATGTTAACGTGACAGACGCCAACGGCGCCTACCCCTTACACTACGCCGCCAACATGTCACGTGATATCGAGAAGCTCCCAGAGGATGCACCAGTGGTGAGTTTACAGAAAGGGAACTAGCTAAGGGTGTACACTTATAATTAGCTGTTTTTATGACGAAAAATCATTTTATGACAAAACATTTGATGAAAAAAGTATTATTCTGCTAGACTCTCCCTATATTATTATTTTTTTCTCTTGTGTTGGGGTTTATCCTATACAGCTTTATCAGGTTTATGCTATGTTAATATAGCTTAAACTGATTTACACATATAATAACTGAGTTTCTCTGTTTTAAAGTAATCAATCTAACGTTGGAACAGCCTACCCCATCAGGCGACAAAGCAACCTCCGACCTTCTCTTCATTGATCCATCTCTAAGGAACAGGCCACGCGAAGACGCACAGAAAGCCTTGGAATCATTATTAGCACTGTTAGAAAATGGCGCGAGCGTGGTGGTCAGGGACAGCAGTGGCGCTCAGCCGCTGTTCAACGCAGCCCGTGAAGGAAACGAGGCGGCTTGCAGACTTCTCCTCGATTTTGAGGCAGATGTGGCTGCTAAGGATAATCATGGGCGTACAGGTTTGGGCATTGCTTATTTAAGAATTTCAGATGCTATTTTAATATATATTTTCATGTAATAATGCTTTTCAAACAAAGTTACAACGAATGATTCGTGTAGTGCATCCTGGGTTTGGACAAGATTTTTGCCCGTTTAAAATATTTCTATCACGTTACATTACATAATTCTCAATAAATGTAATAGATTTTTAGTGTTGTAATTAGTTTAAAACAAGTAAACTACAAAACTACCCATTATTAATCATTATCGGCATATACGTTGATTATTAACTGAACGGTATTTTCAGCACTGCACGTTGCTGCACAAGAAGGTCACGGTGATGTGTTGACCACCCTGCTGGAGGTGCAGAACATGGCTTGTCTTGATGCTGTTGATGACAGGGGCAGAACCCCTCTCATGTATGCTGCCGCTTCAGGTTCGCCTCCTACATTCAACAGTTACCCTGTTACCCAGCTGCTAGTTATTTTGTTTTATATTTCAATGGGATATTTCAACAATGCGGCTCACAATTAACGGAATAATAAATTACAGGAAAAACGAAGTGTGTTGAGTTATTGCTAGAGGCTAGTGCTAACCCAAACCACAAGGATGATAAGCAAATTAGGTAATTCGGAATACCATAATTTTGAAGCTTAACCTTTATATATTATGAATATTCTACCGAAAATGTAATTATCGTTGTTTTGATGCTATTTCCTCCCTAAAATATCTTCACGGATGAAATGTGATGTTATCAATATGTAGTCTAACTTTTAGATATCTAGAAACTTGGGAAATTATAAAATGATTCTTACAATATGATTTGTGCAGTGTTGCGCACTGTCTAGCGTCGGTGGGAGATGTGGAAGGAATGAAGTTGTTGAAAGCTAAATCAGGAAATCTAAGCACAGCCAGTAAATCAGGCACATATCCTCTACACGAAGCTGCTTTGGCCGGCAAACCCGGTACAAAACTCTAACTTTTTATTATTATGGAAGTGTAAATTCTGAGTTTAACGTCTGTTTAAGTTGATTCGAACCATTGTAAGAATCAAAGACTTAGTACTTAATATACTGCTATCTTTTGCACACAAATAAGAACTGTGCGAATCGTTTACACTCTTATTAATATTTAATACAATCGTGATAAATTATTGATGTTGGGAAATATTTATAATATTTTTTTCATGTAGTGCGATGATAATTTTTACTTTACTTTACTTACCCTTGACCTAATAACCCTCACACAGATGTGATGTCGTATCTGGTGAAGCAAGGTGTAGTGATGGGCGTCAGAGACAGCAGTGGCATCACACCTCTGCACTGTTCTATCGCTAACGATAACCCTGAATGTTGTAAGATTTTGGTAGAGAATGGTGATAATATTAACCCCGTCATGAGGACCAAAGATGTGAGTAAATTAATGAAAATTCACTTCTCTTCAATCTTTATTTCAATCTCTTCAATCTTTATTTCATTAATTCATTGAGAACCTATCTGAAAACTTAAAAGTAAGCACGTGTAAACGTTTGTGTCCCGTCAGATGAGGTACCTGACGCCATTGGATTACGCGCTCATAAACGTGCGCCCCAACTGTGCAGAGTACCTGGCAAAAAACAATGCTTTACCTGGTATCATCTACACGGGTGTCATGGTGAATAGAATCAGGTTGGCGTGGCGCAGGTTCCGCAGGCGCAAATACGGCAGGTTCGTCCAACGTTTTGATTTTTCATGTTTTTGTGGTGTTAATTTAGTTTTGTGTGTTCTACTCTACTCGCCTCTATATTTTTCTGTTCTGTATTCCTGTTTGTATGTGTCTGGGTTTGCAAGAGTTTGGCCTGCCTTCTGATATCTCTTGAATGCGTTCTTATCTCCAAACTAAAATCTAGTGCTCCGACTTTATCTTGCATTCTCTTCTGGTTGTTCACTTAGACTCAGTCACTTGATCTCCCCGTAGTTCTAAAACCGGCCCTAAAACCCTGTCAATTGAACATTTCAAGCTATGAACAAGGCCCTAATGCTCACAATATTTGACAGATGCTTGTCGTGTGGAGGCGACGTGGTCCCTGTTGACGGTCAAACATCCTCCGGTGATGAGGACTCCCAGCTCTACTCGACAATCATACTGCCGCTATCTCAAATACCAACCTCCCACCACCCCGAACAGCACAGCTTGCTCACGGGATGCTTCCCCAACTTTTAGCCAACCCAGACTGTTTTTGTGTTTTGTGGATATTTTCAGACACTTTGAACTGGTTGTGGTGTTATTTATTAAACAGTGTGGACGCTTTGTAGCAAGTGTGTATTCAATGAAACTATTTATCTGTGGTTTGTGTTGTATCTGTTTGTGCTTCGTATGATTTAAAATTTCATGATATTTTATTCTATTTGATTCAATTCAAATGACTCGCTTTATTTATTAGATTGATTTATCTTCATGATTCTCAGAAATGGTGTAGCAAATGCGGACTGTCACAATGTGCCGAAAAGTTAAAATCCGTTAAAAATTTATGTAACACGCACATCAATATTAAAAGATTATTTAGCGCAAATAATCGCGCGCGTCTTATTTTAACCACATTGAAAACATGTGCTGTTTGTTTCAGGTCCCGCCCAGAAACACCCCATACGGGCAACACACCAGGTAAAACAACCCCCACCAAACTAAGTCGTGCCACCACTCCACAACGCTCCATATCACAAACGAGCCAGCACGTGCTAGAGAGCACTACGCCCCTAAAACCGGGCGACACGGCAACAGGTAAACCGCTAGCTAACGGCAACCTACCCCAGCTCGGGGCTGCGGATACTGAAAAAGTCAAAGAAAGTGCGAGCACTCGTGGAGCATTGCCTGGTTTAGCGTCACAACAAGCGGTCCCCGTTACTTCTGGTAAACAGCGGGTAAGCCCTGCTGAGCGTCGAGCAAGCCCTGTAGACCGCAGAGGAAGCCCTGGTCAGCGCCGAGCAAGCCCTTTAGACAATCGAGCTAGCCCAGTTGAGCGGAGAGAGAAGGAGAACGATGAAGAGGCAGCTAGAAGGGGTTCCATTGTGAAGTACGAGGGACCTAATACGGGGAGACAAACTCCTCGCAGTGACTTATCACCAACTGAATCCGAGGCCACCATTGGAAACTTATCCATTCCTAACGCTGGCTACATCTTAGGAAATAGGCTATACGAACAGCGACAAAGTTTTCAAAATGTGATGGGATCCAATACTGACTTGACTCAAGATCCCGAGATCAGAGCTGTGAAAGTGAGAAGGCCTAGTGGTCCTCCATTGGCTCTAGCAGGACCTATTGCACAACCCCCACCCATGTCAAGCGAAGTGGTAAAAACTCTCAACAATTTTGCCAACACATCAATCTTGCTGCCTATCCCAACAACCAGTTTTGTGCCGGTTGTCCATGACGGTAAGTCTGAGCCCAGTATACCTTACCGACAGCCACCACCATCTTCGTCCAAAACAAATCCCACTGAATACCAAATGGAGTCGACTCGTGGTGGTGCTAGTCAAGGGGGTCAGACAACCACCACAGCCTACCTGGGACCTGCAAGCGAGAGATCTACCAAAATCCGGCCAATATCTGCTGGATCAGGGAGATCAGAGGGACTGTGTCTCGAGGCACCTGAAGACAACATGGAGACAGAGTCGACTATACACGAGTACGAGATGACAATACCTGACACAGATCCAGGTAACGAGGAGGGTCACCAGGTGTTAGAGGATAAAGAGCCGGCAGAGGTGGAGGGAGAGAGTGGGAACAGGGAGATAGTAGACGAGGAGTGTGATGAGAACGACACATTGACTCGTCAGGATAATACCGAGCACGATGATCAACTTGACGAGTTTATGCGTCCTCAGGCTGATGGCAGCGAGGAGCTAGAGTATGAAGACTATCAGATGGAGGATGGACGGGACAGTGTTGAGATAGAGGGAGAACAAGAGTACACTTTGGAGGACAATTCCCCGGAACAGTTTGAGGAAATGACGTCATCACACAATCGTCCGGCTATAGAAGACGAGAAGGATGGAGACCTGGAGGAGTTTCACCGAGAACAGGAGGAGGAGGATGAGGAGGAGTTTCAGCGTGGGTCTACCCCCAACATGGAAACAACCGATTATCTTAGAGATGATCTTAGCACGACTGATTTAATACGAGCAGAGTCAGGACACGAACTAGACGAAATGTTAGATCCAGAGTACAATGCACTGACACTTTCATCTCCCCATTTCAACGATGATGATGAGTGTGGTGAGATCACACTGAAAGAAGTTATAAGGGATGCGTTTGATACACCATACCTGCGTGATTACTGTCACACTCCGACTGGGGAGACGGACTCAGAAGACGACACGGAATACGAGTTTTGTAACGAGAGTGAAGACGAGATCTCGGTAGCTCAGCACGACAGTGACCCGGAGGACGACGGTAATTAGATAATTTGATAATTAATTATCATGATAATTGAATATCTGATAATTGGGGTGATTCGACTCAAGAGCAGGGCTTCCCATCTTCCCGAGAGACCGTTGTGATTTTTATAACGCTTGTTGCGACGCCAGGCCAGGCTTAAATTCGTGCAAGGATGCTCCAAGAATGAACATTGAACTGCCTATCTTTTTTCTGTATGTGTCTGTGTTTTGCTGCAGGCTTTAGCACCACTTTCAATGCTTTCAGAAGACTCGAGTATGTTTTGAGATTTTTGCACGGACGCATCATAAAGCATTAGTTTGCAGTTGCTTTTGTATGACTTGTTGATAGACAACTTTGCTAAACAACGTGTCTTTTTTCTTCCAGTGAAGCCCTGCTTTTGAGAAAATAAAATGGGGTAAAATTGATTGTTCCACCTACTTCAAGAGAGAGACAAAAGATTCTTGATTAAAGAGGGTTTGAAATTGAAATGAAAATATGTACCGTTTCAGAGGGATTTGTTATCCTAAAACCATCCAGTAGCAGTAAGCGCTCTTCCGCAAGAAATAGTGCTAAACGCAGCGAGTCAGGTAGAAAAATTTGGCAAAATGCGATGGAAAAGTAGTAATTTAAGATAAATATTTCAGATGCTTTCAAAACAGGTCTACAGATTTTTATTTTGTAGGAAAAACTCATGTATGCTACATGATGTTGAGATCAAATTTAAATACTTTCTTATAATTCGTTTTTCAACGAAAACAATTTAAAAGAAGCTGAGCTGAAAGTTTCTCAATTTTTTGTTTGGGCAGGTAGAAGATTACTTAGTTGAAATCTTCTCCCTGCTCAATGAACTTCGTGATTCATTATAATCACGGAGTTTTCTTGTTTGCATTCCTCATCTTTTATGTTTTATGCACGAATCATTCCAAAGCACGTCCTAAAACTCGCCAGCATTAAAGCATGTATCGAATTCTCATTAGCATGATTTCACACATCATTTATCAACATCGTTTTTAACTTTTGAAAAACTTTAAAAGTAAATTGCATGGCAATTTTCAGTACATGGAATTTTTCGGTGCATGGAAATTTTCATTGCATGAAAAATATAGAATAATGAATTGATATTCATTCTTGCCCCGTTAGCACAATTTAAGCATGAAAATTCCTCCCAGCAATTACTAGAACAATACCCTGGAAATGCCAGGATACAATGGCACCCCTGTATCATAACTAGCAAAGCTTTGATTGAAACGCACTTGATGTACACACGACTATATCAGATAGCTTAACATTATCGAACGCCATGAAACTCAGCGAATGATCCAGAGCAAAAGAGCACATTGAAGTTTGACTTTTTCAGTTTGAATCGACATGCTGCACCATTCGGTTCAGCATCAAATGCTAAGATAATTTCCGACAAATTCTAATATTTCACTGGCGACGGAGATCACTTCACATGTTATAAATCCGGATGACCAGTTCAAATAATCATCTCATACCCAACACAACTCCATCAAAAACATGAATACTCTTTTATCTGTTATCTTAACCGCTGATTTAAATGTTAAATCGCTGAATTAATTGTTAGCTATTTGTGTAATGGTGTTTCCCAACTTTTCGATGTCTAATTTCTCCACATTGGACCTGATTTATGGCTGATGTTTTTATACTGCGAAATTGTGTTGATGGGTTGAAACAAAGATGTCAAGATTATGATTGAGTCTTTTTTAAATAAGTTTATATCCCACTTAAAATCCTCGACCCAACTTTTCAGTATCCAAAATTTCAGAAAGATTTTATGTTAAGCTTTGGATAAGATAAAATATAATGTAATTTGTTAAACATTTTGACGCCTACTCTGATATACCTATTTGGCTATGAAAATTATGGTGGATTACATAACCTATCAAACCACAGCGCTAACAGCCGAAGAAAAAGAGCTTTCAAACATAGAAAAGGTAAGATCTTAATTAATAAAACCGCTGCTGAAACTCATACCTCCATAGAAGCACATTATAAATAAGCATATCTCTCCCAAATAAACTTGCAAGTAAGCACACTCTACCGTGTACGCACGTGTAAGCACACGTGTGTGAATTGGAGCAATGTGTACCCAGGTACACGATCTGAGACTGAGACTAGAGCAGGAGTTACAAAGGACTAAGATGGAGGAAGAGATGGGCCATGTTTCAAGGGCTAGGGTCTCCCAAGAGGTTTGGATAGCAGTCAGTTATAGCCTCATTTTAGTTTTATCAGCTTATATTACCAACTATTATAAGTATTGTAGAGCTGATGTAAGCACTATTACAAATCTTGAAAATGAAGCATCAATTGTAACAACAGTTGAAGCAGATTATAAGGTGAAGCATTGTAACTTGAAGCACACTTAAACATAACCAGGTAGAAACGTTAGCCAGACAAAGTACTAGATACCGAGATGAGCTGAAGTCGAGTCTCCATAACACTGAGGTTAGTCTTCTACAAATAGGACAGATATAGGACAGATATAGGACAGATGATAGGACAGATATAGGACAGATATAGGACAGATATAGGACAGATGATAGGACAGATATAGGACAGATATAGGACAGATATAGGACAGATATAGGACAGATATAAGGCAGATATAGGACATATATAGGACAGATATATGACAGATTTAGGACGAATATAGGGCAGATATAGGACAGATATAGGACAGAAGTAGGACAGATATAGGACAAGTGATCACTGTTAACTTGAAAAGTGGAATCGTAATGATTTACCTGTTCCATTTCTAGTGACCTCATGCTAACATTTCATCATTGATTTCTTTCCCACCCGTCTTATTAACAAAAGAAACGTCACCAAATACTTTTCAGATTAAAACCAATGGGTGAACAAATCACTTGAGAATTTGTTCACCCATTGCAATTTGTAGCAATTTCCTTTTTTGCTGATTTATTATCCCGACTCTTAAATTTCTGACACTTAAATTTCCCTCCAGAACATGTACAGGAACGTAGATCAGTACATTGGACAGGCCATGGAAGTTAACAACGACCTAGAAGATTTCCTGAGCCAAGCATCCCGAGGCAAGAAAGCAAGCCGAGGTGTGTAGCATTTAATTTGTACTGTTCGATGTAGCAGAGTTTTAGTTGACGGATGACTTAAGACGTGATAAGAATGGTATTATGGCACATATGGGCGAAGCAATCGATAGACAATTTTCTAGACATAGCACCATGTTTGGAATTGCACCAAGTTTGAAGTTATTTTACATTGCACCAAATAAAACTGAGCCTTAAATATCTATATATATAGTATATTAAATACTTTTAGAAAACATCCTCCCCCAGTTCGAGCCTCTAAAGCCCTTAGCACCTACAATTCTTCAACATCTAAAATACACTTAGCATACAAAAATACACAAACACTGTTTTGACAAGTTCCTTACCCAAATCTCCACAGGACACCGAGTTACAGGGGACAACTTCAAATCTTTCCGACAAGCTAAAACCTACAACACGTCCATGGTCCAGGAGACTTCATCCAACAAGGATAAAATGTACTTTAAGCGCAGTGTGGACAAGTCCATCAGAAGCAACAGGTAAGTGTTGACTGGTTAGCTGATATTAGAGAGTATTTAGAGAGTGTATTAGAGAGTGATTCTCACACACTAACAGTGCACCTCCGATATTTCCTTGTTTTCATCTTTAGTGCACTGTTTCCCTCGTCCTAAATAATAAAACCTTTACTTTTTATTTCCTGATCTCTTATGCAAAGCCGATCCAACTTTCCAATAGCTTTCTTCCATATTAAACGCCTCAACAAAGTGGCATATTCAGTCAGCAAATTTCGAGCCACTATAAATTGTAGCGGTCATCTGCTTACTAGTGTAAACCATCATAATTTGCAACAACAAAAACGTTGCATCCCAAAAAGTAAGTCACAGATAAATTTACAATTGGTGAACAATTTCATAATTTGACGTACCCATTACTTAGGAAGGACACACTTTCCGCCGAAAGGGCGAGGTAAGTGTTTAGACCCTTTCACAGAAGGTCTTCAGTTGTATTAGAGAATTCTATTATTGTAGATTCTTTAAAGAGAGTGCAGTGCTGTCGAATGATTAACGATTGTTTGGATTTGCATGTTGCTTTAGCACATTACATATGGCATCGAATTTTTACCATATCCGATATTTTTAGGGCGACTAGACGGAATTTTTTCTTGAAATTGTTGTTTTTTAATGATAGCCTGCAGGTGGTCCCTCAGCAGTGTTTCAATCTTTTCAGTTCAGAGCATGAGGAGGGCCAAGCAACTTCAATATTTATTTCTAACCGCATGACATTTATTTTGCATCTTCAATTCTACTAGCTTATTAATTTAGCATAATATGTATTTAATCTATCTTAACTTTTCAATTTCAGTCAAACCTCACTTGATGGTAAGGAGTACCTCTTCACAGCCAACAGACGTCTGCAAACCTACGAGGAGTGGATGATGCTTAAGTGGCAGGAGATGAAGGAGAAATCACTTCAAACGTGAGATTCTAGCTTTTTGGCAGTATCCAAATAGCCCGACATGTGCCCTAACAGGTGTGTTAGGATTAGGGTTAAGGTTAAGGTTAAGATTAACCCTAACCCTAACCCTAACCTTAACCCTAACCCTAACCCTAACCCTAACCCTAACCCTGACCCTGTTCGAAAACACCTGTTCGCGAACACGTGTCGGGCTACTTGGATACTGTATTTTGTTCAGCACATTTTGAATTAAATGCCAAAGATAGTCATGAGTTAACATCGAAGCATTATGAACCAACATAACCAGAAATGATTGTTTCAGTGTGAGATGGACTCCAGTGAGAGTGGAACCTCCACAGAATATAGACCTCACCGCACCTCCCCCTGCTAAAGATGTCAAGATTCTTTACAGGTCAGTTTCTGGACTCTTCCTCGGTCATATCAAAATAATAATACCAAAATAAACCACAAGCACAACGTTTTGTGGAGTTTTTAAGATGGTACTGAAATATTTCCTCCCAGAGAATACGATCAATCCAGCGGACGTATAAACAAGGTGGTGGCCACTAACCCTGATGGAGCCAAGATTGAGTTCAGAGCTGACCCGCCTTCTGATGGGGAGAATAAACAAGTCAGAAAGAAAAGTCCTTACAAGTCCAAAGCCCGCATAGTCGATCCTGGTAAGTCCAAACCCCACATTGGTGACCCTGGTAAGTCCAAACCTGGCATTTAATATGCCAATGACAGTCTGAAACTGTTATCCTCAGCCGTACCTGTCATGTGTGGTTTATTAACTGTGTGCTGCACTTTTAAAGCCTATCAAAGTTTCTTTGTTATTTGATACTCCCCTTTTCTTAGATAACCATTAACCAGGGTAATGTTATTGTAGAAAGGGCGTCCCCCGACTTCCCTTAGGATGATGACGTAACTTGTGAACCCTTTCTAACTTGTGAACCCTTCCTAACTTGATTTGTTATCTTTATTGACTTCATTTTTATCCAATGAAACATGCTACTAGCTCTGACGTGATTTCGTTCGAGTTTAACATTTACAAACTCAGAAACTGCTGCAGCGTACAAGCTCCCGAGCTACAACTTTGGCGGATATGATGGCCAACCTTCAAACTACAACAGAAAACCTCTCAAATTCCACCATCCTCCTAGCAAGACCAAGAAATCTCGGGTGATCGCCTGAAAAAGGTCATATTCTAAAAACAATAAAGTTGACGTGACTCTCACGCCTCATATGATTACCCTGCTGGTAGGAGATATTCACCCTAGAACTAATCCCATGTGCGAATATGCATGCTTCAAGATCACGTGATACTTATAAATATCATGATCAACCCTCAAAACTGCCACACGTTTTAGTAATTCCTGTTGTTTGTGTGTGTTGTAATATTTATTGTGGCATTATCGACGAAAATTAACTGTTTTGATTTCCAGAAAAAAGTTTATTAGTATTTTTGTTTTGATCGTAGGGTTTTTAGGAATTTTGTATTGTGAATAGTGGAAGATGAAGAAAATGATATTTTTAGTAATAGTGTGAATGTGCAAAAGTACTTATCATTGTTATGTATATTTAAAAACGTTCAAGCAAATAACAATTAACATTTCACTTTAACTTTCACTTTGCCGTGGGGTCTGATTAAATAAAGGATATCGGTATTCAGTCTCTCACAGAGATTACAAATTAGCACAAATATCCGGATTATCATACCCTGACAAACATTCAAACATAAAAACAAACAAAATCGAAACGTTCGTCACATTGAGACAAAAAATTCAGGTAAAAACTTGTACTGAAGTCTAAAATATAATCTTAAACTAAATCTCTAAATATAATTCAAATTTGTCCAGGAACTGATATCTGAAGTAAGTAGTATAATAAATGGAATAATCCCAATCTCCTGCAATAATATTCCATGTTATGTCATCAGATATTATCATAGATGATATTGTCAAAGTCAGTTTCTAAGGGTGTTCCACATATCTGAGCAGCTTCCACACTGTTATACAGGTCATTAACCTCCACCATTCCTACCCTGAAATTTATTAAGTTCAATCTCCACCATTCCTCCCCTGAAAATTTATTAAGTTCAATCTCCACCATTCCTACCCTGAAAATGTATTAAGTTCAACCTCCATTTTCAATGCTATGCCGTCTCTGTGATTTCAACAGATGTACAGTTATTCTTTCAACATCATTTGCTTATCTCTAAATCTAGGCGGAATCTTAGAACTGTACAATCATACATGTGAAGGACACTCAGTTAACTGAAGCATGTATCTAAATCTTACCCCCTGCCCAAAGTTGGGACATTGTAAACATCTTCTTCATCCCCGTAATCATCTGAGTCAACAGTTATATCTTGGAATGGTGACGAGGGGTCGGATGAGTAGTGGTTCTTTGCCGTTGTAGTCTGTGAGATGTTCTTAATAGGCACGGTTTGAAATTCTGAAAATCTAAGCCAATAGATGACAAATTTTTGTATTTTCCCTGTTTTTCTTGAAATTTAGAGGAGATTGTTTTAAGATGAAGATCTTACGTTATTCCGAACTGGGACGTTGTACAGATCTTCTGGGTCGTCTTCCTCTTCTTCACATATTAATTCTTGGTCTTTCAACTGTAAAATGAGGTTTACCAATCAATTCATACCAACAGAAACTTTCCTGTTAACATACTTTTTCAGGGTATTTGAAATCGGTTTCAACAAATCATCTAGTTTTAAAGTTTTAGCCGCTATATAACCTGACTGAGAGTATTGTAGGTTCCCTCAACAGGTTCCTCGATAACCGACCCTCCACCTCCAGATCGTATCCCTCTCAGGGTATCGTACTGTTGAGGTTCGTTAGCGTTCTCAGCTCTCAGCACCAGACGGCTGCCTTTTGACGCTGTTCTGTCAATCCGGAACGATTCTGGTTCGTTATCTGAGAGTGATTTGTCTTCAAATATTTTTAAAAACTGTTTATCAACAAGGAACTCCGATTCTTTAACAAATTTAATCGCTCTTGCTGTTAGTCAGAGCCGTGAAATATTAAGTACGAATATAGATTACCCTCGTATGTTGGATTATTGAAGCCTGTCAGCTCATTTTCATCTGATCTGTAAGCTGGATTCACCCTGCAGAATGAAAATTAGTCCATGGCGATCATTTTGGTCATGAAACTATACGTCTATACTTCAGGATTATCAGGAACCGATATTAAGATTTCGCTTAAAAATCGATGTTAAATTATGGCATTATCAACTAAAACTGTTCCTCACGAGAATCGTTGTTTGTCGTGGTAAGGAGATGGCATCATGTTATCTCTCCTTTTCTTCTTGATCACGAACACAATGAGGAGGAGTACCAGAACCAGGAACATTGCTCCTCCCACCCCAACAAACGTCCACTTGTTCTCGTGGCTGTGTACTGGCTCTGTAACGGGGATACCTAATGTGCTTTACTTATTGATACGGCTTACACGTTAAATATAATTTAAATCTCAATCAGTTCACACGGATCAAACAGTGAAATTCATAAAATTTGCTTGGTTGATAGAAAAATAGAAAGTAAAATGATCTTCTTACGGTAAAATATATTAATGATGTCACAAAAAAAGGTTAATAGATTTTTTTGATGAAATGGATGATATTTACCATGACAGGATATAATCTCTTTGTTTTCAGAATCAGTTATCACTTTCCATATTCCATCTTCGGCACAAAGAAGGTCCTGGATTTACAGTTAGCTATTGGCCGATGAAAAAAACCGCTTCAATTGATCATTCTCGTAAGACTGTCAAAAATGTCGCTCTTACTATGGTATTAATATTGAATTGATACTGATTTTTTCAAATAATTAAAACAAAATAAAGCTACCTGTGGAGGCTGGAAGACTCTACTAGTATCACATCTGATATTGACGACATTGTGGTAGTCAAACAAAGGTCTGGAGTCGTTAACTTGCACGTAAGCAACATCTGGTCTCCTGCACTGAACTGTGGTTATTGAAGTTACTCTGGTGACGCATACACTGAACTGTGGTTATTGACGTTACTCTGGTGACGCATAAACTGAACTGTGGTTATTGAAGTTACTCTGGTGACGCATACACTGAACTGTGGTTATTGAAGTTACTCTGGTGACGCATACACTGAACTGTGGTTATTGAAGTTACTCTGGTGATGCATACACTGAACTGTGGTTATTGACGTTACTCTGGTGACGCGCACACTGAATTTAACTTCTCGCAATCCAGTGCCAGTCAACAATGCATTTGATCCTCCTATTTCTGAAACATCATCAAGAGATGATCCACCATTAATGCTAAGCATCAACATTTAAACGTGACATTACACTCACACCTACCTTAACCCTAATTATATCCCCAGTCCCTAACTCCTACCGCAATCCTAACTCAAAATCTTTGTTTGAAATATCAGGAGGTAAAATCTCTAACTCCTCCCCACCCCCCCCCCCCCCCCCCCCCCCCCCCCCCCCCCCCCCCTCCCTCGAATCATCTCACTAACCCGGAAGACATCCAGGAGCAGGGGCCCAGTCACCAGTATCACTGCAGTTAGTAGAGTAGATAAGAGTAGCGTTGTACCCCTCCTCGCAAGTGTACTGATATTGAGTGTTGTAGGGGTACAGGGTGACTGATTTGTTTACTTCAGTGGTGTAGTTACCGTTCGTCATTTCTGGGAGTTCTCCACATTGTACTGAAATATTTTTATCGTTCATGATCCTGATAAATAAATTCCCCACTTACTGTGATTTTTCATTTGCAGCCTGTAAGTCCGAACGGATACTTCTTCAAGAATCATATTAGGTTGAGGACTGAGGTGTCACTGTATGTGGTCAATATGGACGGTTGTAATGCCAATAACATTCATGAAACTTACCAAGACTGCAAGTAGGCGGTGTCCCCTGCCACCCCAAACTTACCAAGACTACAAGTAGGCGGTGTCCCCTGCCACCCCAAACTTACCAAGACTACAAGTAGGCGGTGTCCCCTCCCACCCCAAACTTACCAAGACTACAAGTAGGCGGTGTCCCCTGCCACCCCAAACTTACCAAGACTACAAGTAGGCGGTGTCCCCTGCCACCCCAAACGTACCAAGACTACAAGTAGGCGGTGTCCCCTGCCACCCCAAACTTACCAAGACTACAAGTAGGCGGTGTCCCCTGCCACCCCAAACTTACCAAGACTACAAGTAGGCGGTGTCCCCTGCCACCCCAAAACCCCATCTTTAATCTCACAAGTCAGAACCCCACTCTCCGCAGATACCTTGTAACCCTTCTCACAAGTGTAACTGTAGTTGCTGTGTAGTGGGAAGGGTCCCGGTTCTGTTATACTGTGAAACACTGTCGGTGGCTGGTCGCACGATACTGAAATAAAAACGGACGTGATGCATTTTGGATTAGTTATAACACAAGGGGTATAAGCTTGTACCGGGTATTTTATCAGGTCCCATACTCCATAGGGGATGTTATGGCATATTTGGTACCAAGCTGTTCCTTTGATATCTAGAATTTAATTTGAAATGTCCATTAACTTTATCTATAATATGGCCTGATTCTGGAATGTACCCTGGTTTGGAACGTGTTCAAGGTATGTTACCTAGGCTACAAGAAGGAATGATAAGTAATAAGTATGTTTGGTTCTTTTGCGATAGTCAAAACGCGACAATTAGCGCTGGATGGCGACAATTAGCGCTATCCAGCGCTAGTTGTCGCCATCCAGCGCTAGTTGTCGCTATCCAGCGCTGGATAACGCTGGCCAGCGCAAAATATATATGTTTGATAATTGTCGCTATCCAGCGCTAGTTGTCGCCATCCAGCGCTAGTTGTCGCCATCCAGCGCTAGTTGTCGCTATCCAGCGCTAGTTGTCGCTGGCTATGCGACACTGTCGCACGCGATAGTTTGCGATGGCCAGCGCAACTGGCCATCGCAGAAAACAGTTCGATAACTAGCGCTGGATAGCGACAACTAGCGCTGGATAGCGACAACTAGCGCTGGCCATCGATATCCAGCACAAAATTTTTGCGCTATTACCCGTCAGCTAGCGCTGGCCAGCGCTAACCAGCGCTAGCCAGCGCTAACCAGCGCTAGCCAGCGCTAGCCAGCGCTAGCTGACGAGTAATATCGAAACTATATTGCGCTGGCCAGCGCTGGCTGACGAGTAATACTAATATCGAGCGTGCTAAATCACTCTACAGTCGATCTTCGAGATTGTTCTAAAAGGGCCCCCGATGGTTGTAACCAACTTCAATCGATGTATTTATATAATTAATAATTTCTCGTTAGGGTTAGGATTTCAGCATATGTTTTTGTTAAGGATTGGGTTAGAGTTCCGGTTAGGGTTGGGATCAGATTAGAGGGTTAGGGTTAAGGTTTCGAAAAGTCGTTCAGAACCAGCTAGAGTCAGAGAATGGGTTACAAAAATCACGTGACAGTCGAGTGTAAAGTAATCATCATCCGAGTAATATCGCAAGTATATGATTTTGATACATTGCGCTGGCTAGCGCTGGCTAGCGCTGGTTAGCGCTGGCTAGCGCTGGCTAGCGCTGGTTAGCTACTGCTAGCGCTGGTTGTCGCCATCCAGCGCTAAAAGGACCGTATGTTTATATTACCTAGGTTACAAGAAGGAATGTAAGGATTCCACGTTCCATCGTTAGTGCAGGATATAGGATCAGAGTAGTTCAGGTTGTATTCATCACCCTGTTCACACTGGTATTCCACCTCGTCTCCCAGGTGGTATACAGTCTGGTTCTGGATACCGTCTATACGGGCACCATGCGGGATCTTCAGAGGTGCCATCGGGCACACAACTGTCAGATTGTTTAATGTTATTCTTGTTGTATTAAGGGGACGCAGAACAAGTGAAAATATAACAAGTGATTACTGATTAGAAGCTGACTGCTGAGGGAGGAACTATCAAATACACTGGATGGGGGGTTCTTAAAATGAAACGATAGTTTTTTGGTTACAGAATCGTTCAAATAAACGTGATTGAATCGTTTTAAGCTGCTTCAAGTAGCAGCTTGAGTGCTACAGCTACAAAGATATGATCTCATCAACTCACTCAGTTCACAGTGGGAATCAGTAGTTCCGTTCCAACTCCCATCATCACCGCATGCAATCACCTCGTCACCCACCAACCTGTACATGGGATCACAGTCGTACCTCAGAATGTCCTTTTCTAGAAACTTCCCTGCTACGGTCCCGTTCTCAGCTATGTGCTCCACCTCGCCGTGACTGGGATTGTGTTGAATTAGAGCTGTTGGAAACATGTGTTTACGAGTGATGGTGATTCTGAGTGTTCCTAGGAATCACGGCCAGAACATGGGTGAACTTGTCTTTGACAAGGTTATATTTCGTTTGTTAACTTAAGCCACAAAATGTTGACTGTCACAGAAAGATGACCAATAAGCTGGTTCTAACGTGATATTCAGAGCAGGATTGTCACAGTAAACTGTCGTGCAGTTAGGAGGATCCACGTCAAATGTCCCGTCAGATCGACATGTCAACGTCATCTTATCCTGAGGAAACTCATTGTCACTTGTTGTTTATCAAACGTAGCTGGAAAGTGAAAAAGTGACAAACTGCTAAATCTCAATATGGAATTTCCCAATTTGATACATAATTTCAGACAATTTAACTTCTATAAGGGCAGTAGTTTAACGATCAATTTTTACAATATACAGGGTGGGCCAAAAGTCAGTGTGCAAACGTTGGCCTTAATAGCTCAGTCACTGAGTGCCCAATTGAAATACTTCCTTCTGGTATGACTTAGTACCACCACTGGTTCGAGGAATTTGTCAACTCGAAAAATATTCGCGTTCATTTTTTTCAAATGGAGGTTCATTTTCACATTTATTTGATATTTTGGATAGTCGGATCACGCTAAATGTTATTGAATTGTGTTTGGCCATTCGAATTACGTTTGTCCTGAAAGAATTAGAACTGTAGCTTCTCAGATGACCGAGATATGAAGCATAACGAGTTTATTCATTACGTGTGATCAGGTGATTGGTTTACCTAATCACGTGATAAGGTGACCCCGTTAACTACCCCGTTAAACATCACGGGAATTGTTAAGGGTGCCCAATTAAAGTGTCGTGTCACGGTGTCACATAATCACCCAGTCAATTTTGTTAACGAGATACACAAAATGCTTGATAACTTCGTCATTTCTAATCCGTTTTGCCTCATGTTTTCAGATCATATGCAACATTTGATAATCTACCGTCTCTGAAAAAATTAGGCGTTCAGCATGTTCAGAGAAAACAATATAGGTGTTTTAATATTGAATGGGCGTGGTCTAAAATATTCAAATTTTCAAATTTTGACGACGGAATCCTCGAACCAGTAAGTACAGTATGCCATCTGCAAAGCAACAGCTCTCAAATATAAAACACGGCGGAGGTATAAGACCCAACGTTTGCACACTGACTTTTGGCCCACCCTGTATAATCATATTAATATTATGCTGTTTCTCCTTACTGCGAGACTAAGTCTGTGAGGGTTACAGGTATACTCCACCGTGCTCTCACACCTCAGTTTAGTTTTACTGTTCAAGTGTGTGGCTGTGGTCGTGTTCCCCGGTACTACACAGTTTCCTGAAAACAATTCACCTTGTTAGGTTCTTCATGGTAGTTGTTTCTCTTCACATGAGTCAATGTTCTCGGTAGATTGTTTCATGGTATCTTATCGGGCCGGCAAGGTACTAGATTGTCTCGCTCGTTGATTATCATTGTTTGCTTTACATTTTACAACTGTTGTACTTACTTCCCACTTTGCATTTTGGCACGTAGTTCCATGTTCCGTTTGCTTGACAGGTTGCTGATACGTTCTTTGCTAAAACTCCCAAATAGTAGCACGACCTGCGGAGCAGTGGATTTTAAAGTATTTAAAAAAATTAAGCATATATTTTCGATTTGATACTTGATAGTTTGACTTGCTATTATACAATAGACTAATTTATCGTCTGAAAATTGAAAATTAAGCTCATCAAAAAAGTTGAAAGTTACATGTGATCCAACCAAGACTGTAGAGTTTTGATTCATATTGATAACAGTTACTCACGTAGGTCCAGCCCTGTCACAGAAGAATGTTACGTTGTGACCGTAAACGAATGGACTGCTAGTGGCGTCAGATTTCCATTTGGTGACGCCCTTCTGCGGCAGATCAGATTTCTTGCACTCAGCTGATAATAAAAGTATAAAGTCAGACTTTGACATTCAAGTTGTAACTTAATTACGCTAAATTGATTCACCGTTTTAACAACAGGACGTATGTGCTTTTTCTCGAAACTGGCAAGAGTAGCTGGAAAATATCCGATTAAAACAAGTAAATCAATATGCGAGGTAAGGGAGTACCGTATTTGCAGGAACTGTTGGCCAAGTTAACACTCCAGGTTCCGTTTCTCTGACATGTAGATGAACTGGGACCCTCAACATAACACCCATCATTACACTGTACGGTAACTTCCACCAAACTAGAATTGGTATTGGGGCTGATGGTGCCGTTTTTAATTGACGGTGGAGCTGGGCATTGAGCTGAAAAGGTTTGGTTTATTTATATCGACCAAGGTATCGTACTGTCCAACATAATTCATAAATCTTAATTATTATGAAGTGATGACGAGAGAGCTTACCTCCACAAAAAGATTCAGAGAAGTAGTTTCCATTCGGCAGACAGTATCTATCGAAGGTGCCATCTTTATTGCCTGGTTGAACTTTGTTTGCTCCTTTACAACCCGGAGTTTCGAACCGCCCACATGCATCTTCTAACAAATATTGTTCAAACGGCTCCTCCACTGCATTCTTTTGGCACTTAACTGTAAAAATACAATATTTATTTAAGCATCGTTCCGACTACGTTCAAACCCCAAAAAGCAGATTATGAGGCTGATGCTACACTATAAAGTACCCTTTTTCTAGGTAGCGAAACATATCAATAATACTGACAGCATTAACATTGATAGTCGTACAAATTTTTAGCTCCAGCAATTCTTACCATTTGCGTATCTGCAGAACGTAATCTTCAAAGTTCCGTTGGTAGTGTTGGCGAAATATTCTCCCGGACCTTGAGATATGTTAGCTCGGTCAATGAAGACAGATTCCTCGGAGGATATGAAAGAGTATAGCTGGGGACAGGAGGAATTTGTTTTGAGGAGATAAAAAGCTGCAATGTCGTACATGGGCACGTCGAGGTAGTTTTCCGTGGTGGACATATTCTGAGGGATACAAACTATCATTTCGCTGATTATTTGTGCGCAACATTGTAAAGATACAACAAACAACAAGCTGATAGTAAATTATTACAAAGTGAGTTACAAAGCAATGTCGCACTGAATTGTCTTGGCTCAGCAGAAATTTGGGGGTTTAACAATGACATTCGTTACATTCAATAATGACAATTTTATTTTGTCCAATGTTTATTTTTTAAACTTTTTTAGTTTAGTTTAGATTGCATTTAGACAGAGTCCTGCACCTGTTTTATATTGGGTCGTCTGCCTGATAAACTATTTATTTTTCAAGGTATTGTCTTATACGGGGCTGCTGAGACGAACACTGCCCATTTTCTAATGAATTTTGATTGTCATCATGCTGATCCATTGTGCTGATCCATTGTGCTGATCCATAATGCTGATCCATTGTGGCCCCCCCCCCCCCCCCATCCATTGTGCCCCCCCCCCCCCCCCCCCCATCTCATGTTCGGTATTCAGATATTGCTCAGTTCCGCTGCATTTCTGTTTACAATCCGACGATTCATTTGGTTTCGAGGAAGTAGTGGAGCAAAAAATGTGTCTCCAATAATATATTCTGAAATGTTTGCGCTTGAACTTAAACTTAAAGGGGGTTTTCAGGTTTTGCTGTAAAATTTACCTTTTTCTGGGATCTCTTCTAATTTTCAGGTTCAGGTGTTTTATAATCGACAGTCTGACTGCTATAAATAGCAGTCTTTTTGTAATAGGGCCTAGCTTCGTCGAGGTTTTTTGCTCAAAAATGCTTAATACCTAATGATGAGGTTTAGATTATTGATCGTATGCTCTGTATTATGCTGGGAGGGTTGGTATAAACTTTGTAAATATATATATATATATATAGTCAAGGCGTTGTTTTACTGATAGTTGTGGCTGACTAATAATATATATATATATATATATAATAGTGTGCTGTTTGGTTTCGTATTTACCATTTAACCCACATTATTAATTTTTGCTGCGTTAGCAGCTCAGTATTTGGTATTATAATCTATAATATTGATGATCATATAAATAAATCAAAATGTCAAATGTGTTATGCTTAGCTATCTGTGCTGTCAAAGTTTATAATTACCATACCTTTGGACAACAAGCGTTGATATCAAACGTTCCATTTCCACACTTAGACATGGGCGAGGGCTTTGCGTCTGAACATTTGAAATATCTTCCATCAGCTGTGACAGTAGCGTTTACACGAACCATGTCCGAGGGGCATTTTTTGTTGGTGGGTGATGGAACACAGTACCCTCCACTGGGCCACTGATTATTCTTGTTGTCAGCTTTCTCTGAAAGGTATTTTAATGAGTGAGCCAAATATAATAATTCAATATAATAATTCAGAGAATTCTTTATGCTGTATGCTGTACGACCGCCCACGTGCAAATCAGATGAGAAATAGGAAGTTGCATAGTAACCATAGTAACGAGGGTTATTACACGCACGTGCACGTGCAATGATTTTGTAACGTCATTTTGATCGGTTTTGTTGATATTACGCTGTGTTTAGTACGAGCAACATTTTAATTGGCTGTATCTTCGGTTGTGTAGGATATTTTTTGAACTTACTAAAGTACTAAAAAAATATACTATTAGCTTCCTCCCTGTGATCATGTGTTTTCTAGTTCAATATAAAGTTGTAAGTGGTAGGTAATCGCAGGAGCCATATTCTACTATTATAATCCTATAGCTTTTGCTTACTTGGTGTAACGGAGCACAGGTTTATTGATGTGATGTTATTCTCAAACGTGACTTCGGCAGTTAAGTTACTTGTGTCCACCGGATTCAGAGTAAAATCCCATCTTTCTGACGTAAAATTGGTCCTGAATTAAATTTGTAATATTCAAATTGATATAATATTAATGCCAAGTTGACATTACTTTTGGTAAATGTCATCTTCCACAGCAGAATTGGACTTTAAGATAAGCATTATACAGTCTGGCCGAATATTTTGGCTACAATATTTTGTGGAATTGTTTACTTTTTAAAAGTTGAACTTACTTGAGCCAGCCGTTCGGACACTTCCATAGGTCGCCCTCCTGGACCGTGGTGAAAGTACTTTGGGGACAAGAACTCTTGTGATTCTTTGCGCAGTTAACTGCTGTGATATTGATAATCAGAAGATGAATCGAACGGAAAAAATTAAATCTTAAAACGGAAAAGGTTGTTTTATTAATTAGTGGTAAAATTATAAGCAGACTGATTACCAGAAGAATAAGCTACCTTTTCCTTGAGCTGAAGGTGTGAATACGGCTAACAATAGAAACAAGCGGTATTGTGTCATAAAAGTTATAAAATCGTTGTTTCTTGCAGATTTTTGAAGAGTTCGATTCGGGTCGAAAGTTCAGTTATTCGACAGTTTAGTTATTTAGAGTTGACTATATTGACTGAATATGCAAAACAGATCACACTTGATTTATCACAAAACGGCCGTTACGTATATTTCTACGAATGCAAAAAATTCACCACAAAATGAACCAGAAGAGCTCTTATCTATTAACCTTGTTCAAAAATGAAACCTAATACGAGGCACTTTCTGACTTTGAAATATTTGTATTATCATTGTATTAAGTGTATCGTCTTACAATTTAGTTTCAATGTCAACCGTGTATCTGATATCAAATTTAAACTTACAAGTTAAGAGAAAAGAAGTTATAGTGGAGGAAGGGAGGAAGGGAGGAAGGGAGTCGAAGGGAGGAAGGGAGGAAGGGAGGAAGGGAGGAAGGGAGGAAGGGAGGAAGGGAGGAAGGGAGGAAGGGAGGAAGGGAGGAAGGGAGGAAGGGAGGAAGGGAGGAAGGGAGGAAGGGAGGAAGGGAGGAAGGGAGGAAGGGAGGAAGGGAGGAAGGGAGGAAGGGAGGAAGGGAGGAAGGGAGGAAGGGAGGAAGGGAGGAAGGGAGGAAGGGAGGAAGGGAGGAAGGGAGGAAGGGAGGAAGGGAGGAAGGGAGGAAGGGAGGAAGGGAGGAAGGGAGGAAGGGAGGAAGGGAGGAAGGGAGGAAGGGAGGAAGGGAGGAAGGGAGGAAGGGAGGAAGGGAGGAAGGGAGGAAGGGAGGAAGGGAGGAAGGGAGGAAGGGAGGAAGGGAGGAAGGGAGGAAGGGAGGAAGGGAGGAAGGGAGGAAGGGAGGAAGGGAGGAAGGGAGGAAGGGAGGAAGGGAGGAAGGGAGGAAGGGAGGAAGGGAGGAAGGGAGGAAGGGAGGAAGGGAGGAAGGGAGGAAGGGAGGAAGGGAGGAAGGGAGGAAGGGAGGAAGGGAGGAAGGGAGGAAGGGAGGAAGGGAGGAAGGGAGGAAGGGAGGAAGGGAGGAAGGGAGGAAGGGAGGAAGGGAGGAAGGGAGGAAGGGAGGAAGGGAGGAAGGGAGGAAGGGAGGAAGGGAGGAAGGGAGGAAGGGAGGAAGGGAGGAAGGGAGGAAGGGAGGAAGGGAGGAAGGGAGGAAGGGAGGAAGGGAGGAAGGGAGGAAGGGAGGAAGGGAGGAAGGGAGGAAGGGAGGAAAGGAGGAAGGGAGGAAGGGAGGAAGGGAGGAAGGGAGGAAGGGAGGAAGGGAGGAAGGGAGGAAGGGAGGAAGGGAGGAAGGGAGGAAGGGAGGAAGGGCGCTCCTACTATATCGCTCGCCCAAATTTTAAGAAAATTCTTGTGAAAAGGCCCTTTGGGCATGAAAGTGATCTGGATCAGTGTATTTTTGGACGCTGATTCCGAATCACCCCCCATGACGTAGGGTAAAAATGCTTCCCTGGAGAGTTATGGGCAAAAAACCGTTTTGGTCACGTGACAGGCTAGTAAAATACGAATTTGATTGTTTAGGGCCTGGGTTAGGGTTAGGGTTGTGGATGATAATTAATCACTCTACACTCGACTGTTACGTGACTTTTTCAACCCGTTCTCTAGCTGGTCCTGAACGACTATTCGAAACCCTAACCCTCTTATCTGATCCCAACCCTAACCCTAACCCAATCCTTAACAAAAGCATATACTGAAACCCTAACCCTAACGAGAAATTAGACTAACTTCCTTATACGGTCATATCACGTGATCGAGACAGTTTTTCGCCAATATCTCGTCAGGGGAGCATTTTAACCCTATGAGTATTGCTGAAAGCACAGTGTAAGGCCTACACGGACCGCCTCTAACTAGCCAATCCCTGTTTACATGCCGTGTAGCAGGGGACTATGTCATGGGGGGTGATTCGGAATCAGCGTCCGAAAATACATCGATTGAAGTTGGTTACAACCGTCGGGGGCCCTTTTAGAACAATCTCGAAGATCGACTGTAGAGTGATTTAGCACGCTCGTAGGGTTGTGGTAAGGGTTATGGTTAGCTTCGGGGTTATGGTTAGGGTTAGGGTTGGGATTAGGGTTTATGTAAAACCGTTTTGTACGGCTGCAAAACCATAAAAACCAAAGTCACGTGAAATTTTTGGGCGAGCGAATTAGTAAGAGCCGAGGAAGGGAGGAAGGGAGGAAGGGAGGAAGGGAGGAAGGGAGGAAGGGAGGAAGGGAGGAAGGGAGGAAGGGAGGAAGGGAGGAAGGGAGGAAGGGAGGAAGGGAGGAAGGGAGGAAGGGAGGAAGGGAGGAAGGGAGGAAGGGAGGAAGGGAGGAAGGGAGGAAGGGAGGAAGGGAGGAAGGGAGGAAGGGAGGAAGGGAGGAAGGGAGGAAGGGAGGAAGGGAGGAAGGGAGGAAGGGAGGAAGGGAGGAAGGGAGGAAGGGAGGAAGGGAGGAAGGGAGGAAGGGAGGAAGGGAGGAAGGGAGGAAGGGAGGAAGGGAGGAAGGGAGGAAGGGAGGAAGGGAGGAAGGGAGGAAGGGAGGAAGGGAGGAAGGGAGGAAGGGAGGAAGGGAGGAAGGGAGGAAGGGAGGAAGGGAGGAAGGGAGGAAGGGAGGAAGGGAGGAAGGGAGGAAGGGAGGAAGGGAGGAAGGGAGGAAGGGAGGAAGGGAGGAAGGGAGGAAGGGAGGAAGGGAGGAAGGGAGGAAGGGAGGAAGGGAGGAAGGGAGGAAGGGAGGAAGGGAGGAAGGGAGGAAGGGAGGAAGGGAGGAAGGGAGGAAGGGAGGAAGGGAGGAAGGGAGGAAGGGAGGAAGGGAGGAAGGGAGGAAGGGAGGAAGGGAGGAAGGGAGGAAGGGAGGAAGGGAGGAAGGGAGGAAGGGAGGAAGGGAGGAAGGGAGGAAGGGAGGAAGGGAGGAAGGGAGGAAGGGAGGAAGGGAGGAAGGGAGGAAGGGAGGAAGGGAGGAAGGGAGGAAGGGAGGAAGGGAGGAAGGGAGGAAGGGAGGAAGGGAGGAAGGGAGGAAGGGAGGAAGGGAGGAAGGGAGGAAGGGAGGAAGGGAGGAAGGGAGGAAGGGACAATAAAAACCAAAGTCATGTGATAATTTTATCGTACATTGTAGGTTAATAACTTATCGTAAAGACGCGCACCGAGTTGGACTCGTCAATGGTCGCGGTCGCCGGTCAGGCTATATAATTATATATGTTATATTTTATGTTTATGAAGCTGCAGCGGAATGACAGGCTGAAGCTGACCCAGGAAACTTTAATGGCTGGCCGTGTTACTATAGGTGGTATAATTTAAACAGATGGCTTGACCTCGCGCGCTACATTAAGTGATTTGCACACGTGGCACATTCTGATGATCTTTAAACAGCCATGCCAGCACGTAAAACAATTCAGCCAATCAAAGGACAGGAATCTGCAAAATTAAACTTTAAGTTGCAAACTTTTGATCGGCCCAAAATGAGACTATTCTAGAAATTTTTTACCTGGGGACCTCAGGCTATATATTATGTTCATAATAGTGAATAGAGATTCAGCGAAATGACAGGCTGAGCGCGGCCCAGTGAGAGATTTTGAGATAACTCAAACTCTACATATGTCCCTTTATTATTAATTTTGCTCCTGGGGAGGAAACTTTAACTTTTATATTTTTACACAGTGAAAAAATTTTGCAAAAAACCGGAAGTCTTTAATAGCTCTTTAATACCTAATTTAATCTCTTTAAACCATAATTTAATCAATAACCCTAATTGCTAATGCCTAATTTATATATCACGTGACATGATCGAGACATGACACAGCTTTACGTCAATATCAAATATCTCGCTAGGCGCTAGGGAAATATTTTAAAACTTTACTATTATGTCATGTGGGGTGATAACTCGGAATCAGCGTTCGAAAATTTTAATTTATCGAACGTAACCAGGTAGTGATTTGATTGACAATGTCAACCCTTTCAGATCGTTGCTCTGTAAAGTTTAGATCTTCGATGCGAAACATTGTCATCCGTTGTATATGATCCGCCGCGCTTCCCCTAGCTGTATCGTAAGAACGATAGTAAAACGACTGTGGGGGTCACGACGTGATACAAGCGAAGCAAAATCGATGCTAGAATTTGTAGTTTGCGCGGCGTCGCGTGTCGAAGCGGTAAAGTCCTCCAACGTAATGAGGTAAATTTCAACTCTTAGGAGCCCTGGCTCTTTTACAAAAATTTCGAAGATCAAGATATTATATTATCAAGATATTATATTATATTGACTGTAAATTAACAATTAAATTGACATACGTTGCATGCCACTTTTCGCGCGCGAAGCGCGCGCCGCGTAAGGCGGAAAATCTCTGATATTTGAGATACGTAACATGTATCAAAAATTGAATTGATTAAGCACGCTTAAAGCTTGATACCTCTTGTAGCGCAATGCGTTGCTGTGCCGCGCACTCAATTATGCTTCTCGCTAGATCGGCGAGATGCGCTATTGTTGACTGTGCATTTGGCATTGCCGAGCTGCAATGAATTAACATCGTCAAAAATACATCGGGCCACGAATATCTCAAGAACAGATATGAAAGTGGCGCGCGCTATTTCGAAGAAATTTATTAGACGAGTAACATCCGTGCTTCTCGCTAGATCGGCGAAATGCACTACTGTGCATTACCGAGCTGGGATGAATTAACATCGTCAAAAATACCTCGGGCCACGAATATCTCAAGAACAGATATGAAAGCGGCGCGCGCTATTCCGAAGAAATTTATTAGACGAGTATTGATCATTAAATAATAATGTCAAGCTCACTATTTTGATTCGCATTCGCATATTAATTTTTAATGGAACTTTAACTATTAATTTCTAATATAAATATTTATACGTATTACTAATTAATATAGTATTAATAGGCTCATTTTACATATATCCAGCACAGAAAAAACACTCCACAAATTTGAAATTGCGCGCGTTGCAGTCATTTCTTTTTAACTTTATTAATTGAGACTAAATCTTTTGCAATGCATTCACAATTCAAAATTGAGCGTGCTAAATCACTCTACAGTGGATCTTTGATTCACGATGTCAATCATTCGCATTTTGCCGATCTGCATTTGTGGTTGCGAGAAGCATTATTGGATGCGCGCCCGGCCTAGTAGTGCATCGCTTGCTCTAACCAGAGCCCTCCCGCTTGCAGTAGTGCGCGACCGCAGTACGCGTATACACATGGCTATGTGAAGTGCATCGCGCTACAAATTGGATCTTAGAGATTTTTCTAAAAGGCTTCCCGACAGTTGATACCAACGAGATACTGGCGAAAAACTGTCTCAATCACGTGATATGACCATATAAAGATAAGATTATAGGGCTAGGATTTCGAATAGTCACTTAGGGCCACAAAAATATAGTGTTTAAAAAGTCACGTGACAGTCAAGTGTAAAGTGATTATTCATCATTCATTCAAAATCAACATTTAACTTATTTTATATTATGGCTGTAAAGCTTAGGCTATGATCACTAAATGTATCGAAATTGTATGTCAGTGGCATAATTCTTCATCTGACGACAGTTATTTGAATATTTGTGCTGAAATTAGATTAATTATGGCCAGAAGAAAAAGTCAGAGTTAGAAGGATCAGTACTGAAGATCTCTGGGCGGAGTAGCTTGTCCATGGGAGTTTACCTCAGTGGCTTAAAATGAAATACAAGTGAAACAACTTAATTCAGGTTGACTTACAGCCACTGAGTAAGGATAACATTCTGAAACAATTTGCATTAGTTGTAAACATTTAACGTAACTGAAATAAATAAACAATTAAGAATATAACACATTCGAACTCAGTTTACTATTGTGAAGAACAAGATGTTTTACAAACTTACGTTAGACTGAATCCATGGGAGTCAAGCCCTAATTGTAGTTTTATCGTACCCGACCGAATTGAAGTTTTTGGCAGATTTTGAGACATTTTATTTTTGATGCATGATTATTGCCCAGAAAATGATTCGCCTCGTTAAAATTTATTTACCATCATAACCAGCAGCCTAACTGGTAATTTCGTGTTTTTTGTACAACATTTAATAGACCATCAAAGTGAAACTTGCAGCATTGTCAAACTATTGAATTATGAATCTTTGATGTTTAGAACAAGAAGACTAAACCAATTGGTTTCAATTAAAGACCATGTTTTGGTCAGTACTTGCTACCGTTTAAATTAATCGCGTCAAAATTAAATCGATTCGAAAGCTTCTTCTTGTGTAAAATTATACTTAGTCAAATCATATGATGCAATTGGCAAAGCATAGTACACTGGTAACAGAAATTTTCCATTGATACAAAATGAGTCCAAATCTCTCTATTCTCATCAATGTCCCATTTAAGCAGATGTCCCAAAAGCAGATATCAAGTTCTTCCCAGAATATTCAAGCAATCCATTTATGAGTTAGTTCAGTTGTGGCTAGGTAGCAGGTGGCCGAGTGGTTAGCTCTTCTGCATCTCAAGCAGAGGATCAGTACATAAATCCCATTGTCATCTAGTCTAGGGAGAAGCTGAGGATCCATTGGATCTATGCAAAATTACATGTTTGTGTAATGTCTCCTCGGTCAACTCAGCCGAATGATCGGAAACGTGATTGAAGGTTAAATGCAGAGGGGCTCTGCCATATGATCAAGAATCTTTGGCAGTATCCAGATAGCCCAACCCCTGTTCGCGAACAGTTGTTGGCGAACAGGTGTTCGTAAACAACTGATGACATGATGGTTACCAGATCATATGACTGCATAATAACAGTACACAGACTTGCTTGCGATGATGTGAACCCCTTGACACTGAATCAAGCAGGGTTCACATCAGTGGCGTAACGTTGCCTGTTGGCGCCCCCCTGCCGAAAATAGCGCCCCCCTGTTGGCGCCCCCTCCCCTTTTGGTGCCCCTCCCTAAAATTGAACAAATTAGGTGATTTTAGAGAATACGCCGGTAAAATCTCTAAAAAAGTGTGTATCTAGAGCAAAACGCGCAGTTTTGCTAGTACTTTAGTTAAGTTTTCGAAATTGTCCCACATTCAAACGACGATTTGGCGCCCCCCTAAGACGGCGCCCCCCTGCACAGCGGGGTCAGCAGGGCCCTTTGTTACGCCACTGGTTCACATCATCGCAAGCACGGTTGGTTCACATTATCTTTTACTTGAACAAATATCATAGTAACAGACTGAAGTGTTGCACAGTTTACCTACCATACTATAAGTTTAAATATCTTGATACAAGCTAGTAAGGTATCTTGATTCTTGATGTAAGCAAACTACAGTGGAATTATTATTTAGAACAGCCTTCTTTTACTTGAACATTTACAAATTTTAATTTAATTTAACTTTATTACAGATCATAGTAACAGACTGAAGTGTAGCACAGTTTACTGTTTACCTACCATACTATAAGTTATATCTTGATACAAGCTAGTAAGGTCTGTAGGTTTGGACAAAATCAAGTTTTTTGTCCTGTTTTGGTACCACTTCCTGTTAGCAAATTTTGGACTTAAAGGACCAGTTAACTGAAAAAAAAGTTATCCTCATATTTTGACAGATTGTGACAAATAGCAAACTAAGCAACGAGTCGAAATTCCTAAATCTCTAGAACTGCTCTCTAACGCGTGTAAATAGCGTTTGTATTATTTTGGCGATGACGTCATAAAGTCCCTTGCGCGCGCACAAGAGCTCGTGAGACTGTATTTTACAGGTAGAAAATGGACATAATGTACAATGTTTTTCCCCGAATAAGTAAGTGAAAAGTAAGTAATTTAGGGTACATGTTGCTTCATAAGTTGTATATAAACATGGCCATTCTGCACAATTTGCACACATTCAAAAACCTTTAGGGCCTTCATAGCCCAATTTACCAGATACCCATAGTTTTGCATGATTTTTGGAACCGAAAATCAGTTTTTCGCCAATAACTGAAAAAGTAAGCACTTTAAGGTATATGTTTGTTCGTAAGTCATAGATTAATATGCTAATTGCGGTTCTTTTGCACCCTGTCTAAAGACTATATCACGATCCTATCGAAAATGGGCTCAGCACCACGCCCAAAATGGTTATATTGGAGAATTTCTCGAAAAGTAAGTATTTTAGGCCATGTGTTGCTCAATAACTCCTATATAAACATGCATATGCGGCTTCGTTTAAGCCTATTTTGAAGTCTCTACGACCTTCAGAAGCAAGGGGTTTGTTACGTTATTGGGTCAATATGGGCGTGGCCCTCCTGGGTTTTCTCCACGGTCAAAAAAATGTCTCCAAACGAAAATCGTTTATTCATACCTTCGGGAAGGTCTGTGCAAAGTTTCGTGAGTATTTGAACATTTGCAGGTTCATTTCCATAAATGTCCATAAATGACTGGACTACACAACTTTAGAGTTAACTTTAGAGAAACTCATAAGTCATTTATCTCAAATCAAGCTGTTAGTGTCCATGATCAATCTGTGGCGACAATGTTTTACGTGAAATGTAAAAATCAGGAGTAATATAAAAAGTGTATTTTTAGATTAAAGTGCTAGCTCATAGTTTTAGAATTGTATAGATTAACGTTGGTCGTTTAGCCATCTAACAATCGATTGTGCCGTAATATATGGCCAGAGAATAATAGGGTCTTGGAAATTCTATAGTTGTTCAGTGGGTCGATTGACTGAACACGTTTGCACTTGGTATTTAAATTTACCAGTAGTTTATTTATGTTATGTACCGATGATAATGCAATTAGGATAACAACTAGGTATAAGCCGTAAGTCTAATTCAAAACACACCGCACACCGTATATATAGTACACTCCAATCAGTATTACTATTTGGTAGACCCGAGACCGGGTATTTTGGCGGGAATTCTGTTCCCACGGCACTGTTCTGATAGAAGCTACTTCTACTTATGGTCCCAGAGGAACGGCCGTAAAGTAGCCAGACTTCTTGTCTCCTGTGCTGGCTGACACATGCGGATTAAAGTTATAAATTTTGCTATGCTATAAATATAATTGCTCTCGGAATTGAACAAACTCCTACTTATCTAGATCCTTTCTAAATTCGTTAGAGTTTCATGGACTGGGGAAAAATAATCGGTACAGTCTCCCTAGCTGCTTGTGTAATTAAGCAATGAAAACAATCCAAAATTATCACATATGACATAAGTTGTAATAGCAGAAACGTTCTAACCGTACATTCACCCGCCACTGTTCAAGAACATATATCACTGTTTAAAATCATGACGTGAGCACTGTACATCCAATCAGCTATTCCTTTAGTTAGAATGATAGCCAAAACTATAAGGATTTTGGAGAGCTAGGGTAATAGTCATAATTCTGAAATTTGAGTGAGTTACACGTGTTTTATTGACGATGATAAACATTTGTAATGTAAATTACGCTATGCAAGTGCGCACTGAGGGACTTTATGACGTCACAAGGCCACAGCTTATTATTGCAATAACACGCGTTACACGTACGCTAGAGAGTTGGTTCTTTCGGCGATACGATTCTTTACCAGTTTGTCACAGCTGATTTAAATCTTAGCCAAATTGGAGACTACAAATTTTTCAGTTAACTGGTCCTTTAATTTACACGGATAATAAATATATGCTAGGTTTAAAACTAGTGCATTTTTGTCAGCATTATTTCTCTCCTTTTGCATAAGTCTTGAGGGCTATCGTAATTCGCTGGATAAGGTGATCTCTATTGTGTCAGCCCAATGTCTACTTTCACAACTGCAGCTAGGCAGCATGGTTTTCTGGGAGGGGCAAGGTCTAGGAGATCTTTGCTGATATTTAATGTTACTTAATTGTTTTAATTTCTGACTCTTATGATTGTTTGCTCTATTGTTAATTATGTTTTGAAAGTATTTATACTTCTTATTTCTACAGTCCTTTCAATGCAGTTCATGGAAATTTGTCAATTTCTTTGCTACAGTTAAATACTAATTTGAAGCTAAAACTGTTGCAGTCCACAACGACAATTCATAATTGTCTTTATATTCTGAAACAACAAATATTATTGTGCTGGATTGCTGATAGGAATAATTTGTAGAATCAAAATTAAAAATTCAATGTATAAAACAGAAATCATTAATGACTTAATTTCTTTCCATTGTAGTATGCTAACTTTTGATGAAAGGTGATGAGTAAAGCAGACGATGGAGCTAGAGAATATAGTTGCCAACACCGTATATCTGAAGGCCAGAGAAGCTGCCGACGGTAAGTAGCTTTTAGCTTATTTCACTTATAAAACAATTTGTTCAACCGTGTTTTCTTTCATATAATAGAGAAACGTAATTGTTTGTAGAGATCAGTAATTGCAAGCTTCTTGTCAAGTGCACTGGAAGATATTTAACTGTCGTCGTAATTATTATGAAAAGGTGAAGATATTAGAAATTTTACACCAACAAATATCCTTTTAACACAGACCAATGACTGTAATCTTTGTATAATAAGCTTCCGTTAATTAGTTGTACAGATATTGTTCCATACGATAATGACAGGACACAAAGTGGTACTAAAGTATGAAACCTTAGTTTTATCAGCTACACATACATACTCCTCCACTTCTACCACCACGAGATACATGTACATATTATTACTTTTTAATGATATCGGTCATAACGTTTCACTCCGGGTTTGTCTCTCTCTCTCTCCCTCTCGAACCCAAGGTAGGTACCCTCTCCCCCTCCCCTCTTCCTCTCCCCCCTCCCTCCCTCTCTCCCTCCCTCATCCCCTCTCCCTTTTCCTCTCCCTCTCTCTTTATTTTCTCTCTCTCTCTCTCTCTCTTTTTCTCTCCCTCTCTCTCTCCCTCTCCTCACCACGCCGACATGTACAACTGCAGTGTATAAAAAAACACACAGTACAGTAGCAGTAAACATATGTTCTCTCGACCATCACTCATCACGATATACTATTTAACAATTAGCTCGCAACACACACAGCAGCTCAATACATATTTAACGTGTCGTGTAATACAATGTTGTTACAACTCCCTCAGCTCACATCTCAGTCAAGTTGCGCAGCGGTACATGTGACAAATCTGTAATAATAATTTGATTGATGACACAGTCAGAGAGAGAGAGAGAGAGAGAGAGAGAGAGAGAGAGAGAGAGAGTGCGAGAGAGAGAGAGAGAGAGAGAGAGAGAGAGAGAGATAGTGAGAATTGTTAAATATAGTTGTCACGTAGTCGTCACACGTGCATACACACTGTGTGAACTAATGCTGTATATTGTGTACAACCACACGTTATTTAATCACTAATTGATTGGAATTATTCACGGTGTTAATGTACACGTATGCTGGACGCTGATGCCCTTTTTTAGGATCACTAATCATAAACGCACGCACAAGTCTGATCTGGCGGGCCTCAACAAGTTCCAGTTTTGAGGTTATTATTATTATTCCGGGGGGAGGTGTACAAGGCAACAGATGATAATTGTTCTGTAAAGGTTGTGTGCTGCGGGTTTGAACTTACCGTTTAAGATACATGACAAACTTATTTTGAGGCAAGAAGAGCTGTCAACAGTTAGTTGAGTCGTGTGTCCAATATTATATTCCCCGCTCTCTCATATACTTTATATCAGAGATTTGAAGTTATAGACGCATTAGTTACCAGATAGTAACCGAATAGTAACCGAATAGTAACCAAAAAGTAAGGGGTTAAGTTTGTGGTTCCAAGTTAGTCACCGGTTAAGCCGCCTCTGGTGTTACAATGACATTGTATTTTACCAAGTGCGGAGTAGTATTATAAGGCAATGGGTATTAGTCTGGCCTTTGGTTACAATGAGTCACGTCATGTAGTTGCGTAATAAGCCAATTAGTTAGTTGTATGATTTTAATATGGACAGTGGACACTACGCCACGGTAAACACGGTATAGGGAAGCACAGTGGACACTACGCCACGATGAACACGGTATAGGGAAGCACAGTGGACACTACGCCACGGTGAACACGGTATAGGGAAGCACAGTGGACACTACGCCACGATGAACACGGTATAGGGAAGCACAGTGGACACTACGCCACGGTGAACACGGTATAGGGAAGCAGGACTATCTTAACTAATTCTAGTATTTCCTGGTCGCATTATCTTTACCACCTAGATAACTCGGGTCTAGTATGATCACCATATTTTATATTATGTAGATTACTTGGGTCTGTGGTTACCTCCTGTCGGCTGACTATGTCACCAAGTTTATCTTATAAAGGCGTTACAAGTTAGTTAATAATAATACACGAACTTGTTTCCTGTATAATATATTAGTTCTGAATTCTGTAGAACTCCCTCACAGTACGAGTACGCTTCCCACGCTTTAGCGGTCCTTTAATTTATATCAGTCTAAAGTTTAAATTCAATACAACACAGACGATATGTAATTGTTTGATCTTGTTAAGTAAATAAGAGCGTATTGTATTTTGATTCAGCTAATTCCTTAGAAATCCTCTGATTTACCGAACTAAGTCTATTTGAGTACTTGTCCAACTGTATAATACTATAATAGCCTGCACTTAAGTACAGCACGGACGTTAAAGATAAAGAATAAAGATCCCCATTAATACAAAGAATCATTAATTAGTTTATTTTAAACAACATCTTCAAGTTGGGTATTTAAATCTCACAGTATCTATTGTGCACGGAGTGTAGGTCTACACACTATTAACATTATGAAGTTCAGAATATTATTATAATAAATTACATGTTTGTTAATTCCGTCTAGAGTAAGGTACCAGACGCATGACATTACATTGTAATGAAGTTCACTGTGCCAAGTTCACTACATTTTCACTGTGCCAAGTTCACTGTGCCAAGTTCACTGTGCCAAGTTCACTGTGCCAAGTTCACTACATTTTCACTTTACCAAGTTCACTGTGCCTAGTTCACTGTGCCAAGTTCACTGTGCCTAGTTCACTATGCCAAGTTATTGTAGTGAAGTTCACTGTGCCAAGTTCTCTACATATTCACTGTGCCAAGTTCACTACATTTTCACTGTGCCCAGTTCACTGTGCCAAGTTCACTGTGCCAAGTTCACTGTGCCAAGTTCACTGTGCCAAGTTCACTGTGCCAAGTTCACTGTGCCAAGTTCACTGTGCCAAGTTCACTGTGCCAAGTTCACTGTGCCAAGTTCACTGTGCCAAGTTCACTGTGCCAAGTTCACTGTGCCAAGTTCACTGTGCCAAGTTCACTGTGCCAAGTTCACTGTGCCAAGTTCACTGTGCCAAGTTCACTGTGTCTGTGCCAAGTTCACTTTATGTTCACTCTAAGTGAACTGTGCTGCCGTTTGTCTATGTTGTAATTGCGGGGAACAGCAGACCTGTGTTGTAGAGAGATACAGTGAGCGTGTGTATTAAGATAAGTGTAGTGATGACAGATAAGGCAGTGAGCTCTCCACTCGTACGATAATTATAGTAGTGTGTAGTGTGTAGTGTGTAGTGTGTAGTGTGTAGTGTGTAGTGTGTAGTGTGTAGTGTGTAGTGTGTAGTGTGTAGTGTGTAGTGTGTAGTGTGTAGTGTGTAGTGTGTAGTGTGTAGTGTGTAGTGTGTAGTGTGTAGTGTGTAGTGTGTTGTGTGTAGTGTGTAGTGTGTAGTGTGTAGTGTGAAGTGTGTAGTGTGCAGTAGTGTGTAGTGTGCAGTAGTGTGTAGTGTGTAGTGTGTAGTGTGTAGTGTGTAGTGTGTAGTGTGTAGTGTGTTGTGTGTTGTGTGTAGTGTGTAGTGTGTAGTGTGTAGTGTGTAGTGTGTAGTATGTAGTGTGTAGTGTGTAGTGTGTAGTAGTGTACCAGTGTAGTGTGTAGTGTGTTGTGTGTAGTGTGTAGTGTGTAGTGTGTAGTGTGTAGTGTGCAGTGTGTAGTGTGTAGTGTGTAGTAGTGTACCAGTGTATCAGTGTAGTAGTGTGTATTCTATGGTATGGTCTGTCGTCTGAAGTTTGAGTCGTTAGTCCATCCTCTTGTGTGTGTGAGTCCTCCAAAAGCGGTTCCTAAGTTTCTAAACTATTAAATAATAATTAAATTATATAATGTTATGTCTAATATTCCTATTAATTATATCTAGCTAGCTTAGTTAGTTGTTGCACTTAAACGATAATTGATAGAGGCAGTACACGATACATGATATTATTATACCACACAATGCATTATAATATTCTACGTCACAGTAACTTTAATTTATATAATAATTCCCACCAGTGTGTAAGTTATGTTATATAACTGTACGTTTTGCCATGCGGCCATGTGTTCAAATGTCATTTGAACAGGCCCCAGCCGCGTGGCTGTCACATTGCAGATGATCCCTGGCGCTAAAAGGAACTCCGACAGCTGCCCATTGTTTTGTCATTGTCGCCACTACCTCACTGTGCACTGCCTACCACACTTCAACCTCTCACTGTGCACTGCCTACCACACTTCAACCTCTCACTGTGCACTGCCTACCACACTTCAACCTCTCACTGTGCACTGCCTACCACACTTCAACCTCTCACTGTGCACTGCCTACCACACTTCAACCTCTCACTGTGCACTGCCTACCACACTTCAACCTCTCACTGTGCACTGCCTACTACATTTCAACCTCTCACTGTGCACTGCCTACCACACTTCAACCTCTCACTGTGCACTGCCTACCACACTTCAACCTCTCACTGTGCACTGCCTACCACACTTCAACCTCTCACTGTGCACTGCCTACTACATTTCAACCTCTCACTGTGCACTGCCTACCACACTTCAACCTCTGGTTCTGAAGAACGTCTGTTCACGTAACTCCACAGACTTTCCACACAATCGCACGTGAGCTACTGTTCACAATGTGGCAAGTTCACATTATATACGTGTTAAACTACTGGCTACTTGCCGAGTTCTTAATATGTACCACATCTACTATTACTTATACTACTAGAACTGTTAGTGTGAGAGAAGGATACACGTGGTGTGGCACATTACAGGATACACGTGGTGTGGTTCATTACAGAATACACGTGGTGTGGCACAGTACAGGATACACGTGGTGTGGCACATTACAGGATACACGTGGTGTGGCACATTACAGGATACACGTGGTGTGGTTCATTACAGGATACACGTGGTGTGGTTCATTACAGGATACACGTGGTGTGGTACATTACAGGATACACGTGGTGTGGTACATTACAGGATACACGTGGTGTGGTACATTACAGGATACACGTGGTGTGGTACATTACAGGATACACGTGGTGTGGTACATT